ATGATTTAGCTTCAAAATTACATCATTCTTTTATATGAATTTAATTAATTTAATACATTTAAATTTATAGTATGTATTATCTTACCCATACTGATGTGATATATTACTATACTACATATACACGCACCGTTTTGATCACTTTCCATTTTGGTGGACACAATCTTTTCATTATTCATCTGACATGTCAGTACATCTGAGATTGCTCACACAAATGACACAGGCACAATTCAAAGTAAACAAAAAAACGACGTTCCGCAAGACAAAACCGTACCGTAGATACTAACTGAACATGGAACATGGCCAATTTGATAGATGTCGGATGATTTTGCCACAGACACGCGAACTATTAACAATGAAAACTGAATATTTAACGTTCACGAAACTCTACAGAGAATTAATTAAGACTTGTATTAATGAAATAGGTCGATACTTGGAACTTATTTAAATATACTAAAAAATTATAAACGCGTAAACTACTTAACACATTTTTAATAATTTCTAACAAATATTACAATAGCGGTAGTTATGACATACATCACTACAAGGTGTACCTAGAGACTGTTCAAATTTCGTCGCCGCAGCGACGTTATTTTTTTTTGTGTCAAATATATATCTATTAAATATGAGCACACGCAAGCGCCAGCTCGCCCCTGGTACGCCTTGAACATGCAATGCCGATGGCAATAAAATTACTTTGCAAACTACTTACTAGGAAAATAATACTTTCCGTTAGAAAAGAATAATATAAAGAACAATATCTATCTGATACATAAAAATTAAAAGATTAAATTACAAAGAACCTTAACATATTAGGATATGTGAATAAATTTACTGACAATAATATCTCTGAATGCAAGTTAAATGATTTTTTTTATTTCCGAAACAAGCTGAAACAGCAATTAACAACGTTTTCCCATTTTATTGTATTGTTCGTTGAAACGAAAGAGTAAAAACTTACAACCAACAATTAATGCACAGCGACTAGCGAGTGATTATTTCGCACAAATTGAATTGTGTCAAATGTCTGGCCCACATCGTATTCTACTGTCGTGGGAGAAACGTTCCAGTTATTGTTCATCGACGAACTCATTGTCGGTTATGTAGAAAATCGTTAACAATGCTATAGTTTTTAAATTCCCGCATCGAACCCAGCCAGTGTTACCGATTTGTAATATATTTTAACACTGGTTTAAATAAAGAAATAAAAAAAAACATAATAATAGCGTTAATATAAATAAAAATGTAATTAGAGTCATTACTCTAAATTACTCTAAATATACCGTTATTTATATTATATTTAAAACAGCTAATTTTACAGTAACACAACAATATCTCTTTCTTGTTGTTAACAATTTATTTTTTTCCATAAGTCATAGATTTTAACTATGAAATCCTTCAATTTGTATACAGAATAGTTATTCAATAAAAATACTATTTGTATAAAGTCACTTTCTATAACATTATAATGTCATTTATAGTTTAATAAAACTGTAATAGGATTTTAGTAATAAAATTTTTAATGAATAAACTCTCAATTGATCTATAAATTTATTAATATAAATTTTAAGAGTTGTTTCGACAATGTAAGGTCAGTTTAAACAAGAATTAATGTCTTCATAAAAATAATTGATGAATCTTAAGTAGTTATTATTTTATTATACTCTTTATTAATCACTGGTATAGAGAATTATAACAGAGAAAGTATAAAAACAGCAGGGACAAATATCGGTTTTATCACCAAGTGGTGATTTCTATGAGGCAATCTTAGGACTAGAATGAAATTATTTTCAAGCTGTAGCTTGTGAGAAAAAATATAACAGATTAAATACACTCAAATAAACAGATATTCTACTTTGTAGGAAATTTCAGCTTATATGTCAGACTTGCTGTTTTTTCTTTGGCACTCTTTCAAATAGGTAGTATAAATTATAATTTGTTTTTAACACTAATGAAATCAAATATAATATGAAAAATTTATTGTAACATTTTTGTCAATAATTATAAATTTAACTTCTTTCTATAGTAATGCATAGACTATAATTTAGTGTTAAGTAAATCATGAAAGTCTCCACTTGTTAATTATGTTATAAAACACTACAATAATCTCAAAGCACTAACAGATGTAATTATATATTATAAACTAATGGAAAGTAAAAAGAAAGTTAATGACATATAACTTGGAAACAGTATTTATAACAACACGCCACTAAGTTAAGATTAAAATATGTTAGTTAAAAGTATATATTATTATTAATTCTTGAGAAATAAATATACAAATATTATATATAAATATTACATCAATAGAGAAGATATGTTAATATTATCTCCAAGTCTATTGACATAAATACATACAATTAATTTATCATTACATTACTAGTATTGTATTATCTCCTAAACATGATCTCCTTTTATGTAATACTGATTATTATAATATGACTTTGCATATTGTCAGGTAATAAATGAAGTACTAAATAAATAAAAAAATGTTTTAATTTAGAAAATATTTCAACTTAAACTCTGTTCAACTAAATGTAGATATGCGGAGTTACGCAGATTTGCACTATCCCCGACGATATTTTAATGTTTGAAATATTTCATATATGTATAATAACTAAAAATTTGAACCATTCAAAATAGTTTCTTCTTATAGTTTATAGAAAAAACAGTTCAATCATAAAAGTAAATTGCACTAATTTTCTTTTTTTACTTTTAGAATACCTACATAACGCAATATTATATCCAGACAACTTTAATGTCTCAAGAAGGTGTCAATGATTTATATCAAGTATAGATTTTAAAATATTAATATTGTTTAAGACAATAATTTCAAAAGTGTGTCCTTATACTTAAATTGAATAGTATATATGTACTATTAGTATGTACATGTTTAAGTGTTTAAAATAATGAGTGGTTAATAATTTTATCGACACATATTCAAATCTTGTTTACCTTAACATTCCTTCATGTTTAAAAACGTAATCAGTTATATGGTTCAGTATATAATATTTTAAATATTAGAAGGTTAATTATTTATTTTATATCCTATTGTATTAGAAAAATTTTACTTCTACCAACTTAATGTCATTTCATATGCTTGATAACTGATGTATAGTTTCTCTGAAGTCATAAAGATAATGCATGACAACTGTAATGTAACACTTTGAATCTGATGCCTCATTTGGTGAATGCAAATAGATATATTTATATAAGCCGCCACCATAGCAAGAAATTGATGTATATTGAGAGTCATCTACAAAGAAAAATCTGAGTACCAATATTATTTAAGTATATATTTACTTATATTAGTGTTGGTCAGTTTAATAAATAAGATGTATACAACTCAAAATATACTTAATTTACTAATATTCAACTTCAAACATATTAACCAACAATTATTAAAAAAAAGTTATATGTACACCATAAAATAATATTCTCTTACTTTTATGTTTCTATATATTTTATAAGTTGATAAATAAGTTGTAACAATACTTTATATTATGTTAATGAAATGGAAAGGAAGGTCATAAAAATATATTTTATATTACTTGGCATTGTATTTGTAAGTTTAAAATTAAATTTACCTACTTAATACCCCACAGGAAGTGGTTATTTATTCATATAAATAAGGCAATATATATTGAAGACATTCAGTTTCATGGACAGTACATTTTTTGTTTTTAGTAAAGGTAATTAAATATTGTAACTTACCACATTATTGTAGTTAAACGCGGCTGCCCCTGGTACAAAATACTCGCTATTTATTTTGTCACCCATCGTGAGAAGATTAATTTTGACGCACTAACATCCGAACACTGTATTCACTCACAAACATAATTTCTTGTTGTCACAGCTATGCTCAAATCAAAGCAATAGATTTATACTACTTAAATAGAAAGAGATTGCATTGAAACCATTTTTCAATGACGGTTGGGAGCGTCCGAACTAGCATTATTTAAGATCGAAATTTAGAATAAAGCCAAGAACATTGAGATTTGTAAAAACTTTGACATTATAAAAAAACGGTTAAATTAAGGAGATAAAGCGTTAATAATCTTGTTGGATGATCAAAAATACTTATATTTGTGTTATATTTTTCAATTTCTTACAAAATTAATCTACACTTGTCAATTTACTTTGAGCCTTGACACACAACCACAAATCGGATACATGTTTTACATTCATAATCTATAGTTGTCAAAATTGCTTTAACAAATAAATAATAGTTAAATAATTTAATAAATATATCTATTATATAAACTTTTAAAATACGTATTCCTTGAAAATTACATCTTTGAATATTTATTTTAGGCACAAACTTTTTAAAGTGATTATAGTGGTAAATCTCTTTTCAATTTTTGTACATAATACCAAGTATTTATACGTAAATACGACGTATTTATTGCCTAGTACACAACGAATATATGCTTATATCATAATTATTTAAAATATAGTATTAATTAGGTTACATGCAGAGTGGAAATATAAAAAATAAATTACATCAAACTAATATATAAAAATGTTGTATGAAGTGCCGCGACTGCATTTCTGCGCCATAGGAAAAAGTGGCAAAATTTTTTAACACAATTATATTTTATGAAAAAAAATATATTATAATAAATTCAGTAATACACGTAATAAAAATTAAGACCTGAAATACATAGTCGTATATTTGAAAAATCAATTTTAAATATTTAGAATTTAGAATTTAATAAACAAAATTTCTAATTCCCTTTTTCATATTTCAATTTATTTAATGGTTTGGTAGTTCACAATAGTTTTATCAATTTACGTGTGTATCTTTTTCTAATATAGTGTATTATCTATGGTTTACAATATGAATTAACTGTTGTCTTATAAGTTACTGTCATTGAAGTTGTCATTCAAGTTTTAAAATGTTTTGGATAATGTATTATAATTGAGTGAATGAGTCAATTACAAATCACTCGTATATAACAAGAGATAAGTTCATCTGAATCGACGAAAAAGTTCGTGTAATAAAAATGCACAATTTAGATTCAGATAGTGAGGATGAATTACCTCCAGGTTGGGAGGAAAAGTCTACTGAGGATGGAAATGTATACTTTGTTAAGTGAGTATTAAAGTTATGCTTACTATATTATAAATAAAATAAACATTTTCGTTCGATTATAAATATCCGTACAAACAACACATGCCTTTGAATAGTTAGATAATATGATTTACATTTAAAATCGGTTGTAAAACTAATATTTTTTCTTCGTTATGTTTTCAGTTCGTGCAATAAAAAAACTCAATGGACACATCCTCGTACAGGGTGTAAAAAAGTGATTCCCAAAGAATTGCCTTTCGGTTGGAGTAAGACTGTTGATGAAAGTGGCAAAACATTGTATGTGAATCAGGAAACCGGTAACAAAACATATGTGGACCCACGACTCGCCTTCTCAAAAGAAGAAAAAAAGCATGTCAATGACTTTAGGCAGAGATTTGATGGTTCTACTACAGCATTTCAGGTAATTATTACTTATTAGGTTACTAAGTATGTGTTATTCTATTATTTGATAAACTACATCTCCCAACGTTTTGGTAACTTTGAAGTAACCATAATCACAGACAAAGAAGAATGTTTTAAAATAATAAAATTATATGGAGTAATCCAACAATAAAAAGTCAGTGTGGTGGCCTAGTGGTTAAAGGGTCCGCCCCTTATTGCCGAGGGCGCAGGTTCAAACGTGGCAAGTACCAATGTGATTTTTTGGAGTCATATGTACTTTCTGAGAGTATTAAGACACCACTGATATACAGTGAAGGAAAACATCGTGAGGAAACCTAGACTTATAGTTTCACAATTATAAGTTTGAAATCACCAACCCGTCTTGAGCAAGCGTGGTGATTAATGCTAAAACCTTCTCCATGTGAGAAAGAGGCCTTTGCTCAGCAGTGGACTCTGATAGGCTCATGACGACGTAATCCAACAATATTAGTTATATATAAATACTCGCAAAAGTCTTAAATCTCATTATATTACTTATTATCAGTTTAGTTTTGACAGCTTATTGTTCATTTTCTATTTTGAGGCTGTCTTTTGATGAATTAAAATAATGTGTGAACTAAGGAATAATGTTTCATTATATTAACAAATTAATTTTGATACTTTTGTAAAGAATCCCTTATATAATAATATATCTTAAAAATTACAATTTCTTTTAGTTACTTAGTGTTAAAATTTCACTGATTTTGTTTTATATTTATAGAATTGTCATTTTGAGATTATTGTTAATAGATATGATTTATTTCTGATTACAGGTTCTACATGGAGTAGATTTATCTGGCAAATATGCTGTTATAACAGGTTGTAATGCTGGCATAGGTTATGAAACTGCAAAGTCCCTAGCTAGACATGGCTGTAGTATTTTATTTGCCAATCGTAATTTAGAAGCCACTCAAAAAGCCATTGAAGATATTGTTAAAGAAACAAATATTTCTGAAGAAAATTTGAAGTCAATACATTTGGATTTGAGCTCATTGAAAAGTGTGAAGAAGTGTGCCTTAGCTATTAAAACGGTTTTTTCTGAGTAAGTTTTTTATAATTTTCTAACCTGGTTGCAGATAATCTCATCTAAAGCTATTTTATTAATAAAGAGTCAAAAATGTTATTAGCTCTATTATGTAACACAAAATGTATGGATGTAGTATATATCTTTTTATGTTGGGTATTTTAATTTGGTTTATAATAGACTAGCTTTTGCGCGCGACTTCGTCCGGGTGGAATAGTGACTTCCGACAGATTTTTGGTTCTTCCCACATAGTTCCCGTTCTTGCGGAGTTTTCGGAATGGTCGAGTTCCCGTAGAATTTTCAGGATAAAACCTATGGTTTTTTTAATTCACAATGAAGTACTCTTAACTATCAATATATTTATTTGTTTATTTGAATAAAGATTAATATTATTATGTTGATACAACTTAAACAAATTATTTCGACCAAATTAGGTACCATAAAAACGGTTTTTGTGAGTTAATCTTAAAAGATAGACATATACTGTCGCGGACTGTTTTTTAGATTATTAAAAGAGCTATTATTCTTTAACACATATTTTTTGTGTATCTTGAACCGTTTTCACGGCGCACGCAACGGAAGGCTTCAAAGATGAAATAGTTTCTCCCGTTTTTTACATATTTACCACTATATCTTTGCTCCTATTGGTCGTAGCGTAATGTTATATATCCCACAGCCTTCCTCGATAATTGGACTATCCAAAACAAAAAGAATTATTCAATTCGAACCCGTAGTTTCGGAGATTAGCGCTTTCAAACAAACAAACAAACAAACAAACTCTTCAGCTTTATAATATTAGTATAGATTAATACATTGTTTATTGAGAATATTTTTTTTAATTTCATCATAATAAGGATGAATGTTTTTAACAGAAATGTTTTGTTCCCATGTAAATAGTGATATGATTAAACAGAGTCTTTTAATAGACATACGTATATTTACCAAGATTTAAACAATTTATTTATATTCTCAATTTGTATTTATAAATTCATAATGAACTGTTGTTTCAGTCACATTGATATGCTTATATTAAATGCTGGCGTGTTTGGTTTGCCGTATGAAGAGACAGAAGACCAGTTAGATCGAACATTCCAAGTGAATCACCTCTCACACATGTACTTTGCTATGTTATTGGAACCATTGCTAAGAAAAGGATCGAGAGTTATCTTTGTATCGTCCGAATCACATAGGTGAGAGGCATTTTTCTTATAACTATCAATTTATAGTTAATATTGGTTACATATTCTCTTATAATTATTTTCAGAACAGCAAGCCTTAAAAATGTATTTGTAAAACAAAATTTAGCACATCCCAAAGAAGCATACAGCGCTATGACAGCATATGGAAATTCAAAACTGTATAATATTATAACTGCAAAGGTATTATTTTGGTTTTGTACACATTTATCTTGGTAATAAATCCCTACGAATATTATAAATGCGAAAGTAACTCTGTCTGTCTGTTACGCTTTCACGCCTAAACCACTGAACTGATTTTAATGAAAATTGGTACAGACAAAGAGTAGACCTTGAAAAAGAATATAGGATAGTTTTTATCCCAGACTTTTGAAAGGTTCTCTTGGAAACGCGATATAACCGAACTCCACGCGGGTGAAGCTGCAGCGGAAAGCTAGTTGTAAATAAATTTAAATTTATTTTACAGATGTTAAGTGAAGAATGGAAACAAAAGGGAATTGCTGTGAATTCTTTACATCCCGGTAACATGGTCTCAACTAATCTACAAAAGAGTTGGTGGCTCTACCAAGTTTTATTTTTTATAGTTCGACCATTTACCAAATCATTGGTTAGTTGTGTTTTGGTTTTAATGTTTTTATTCTATTTTTTAATGATAATTTCTATGAATTGACCCATGAAACTATTTATATATTGACCTGTAGTTACCATCGTATAGACTAGTTGTTTTCTTTACTTAAATAATTTATGTCAGTGCAATGTCAATACATAATTAATGATTTTATTTTAAATATCCTTACAGAATCATAATTTCCCTTGTAAAAGTATAAAAATAAAACACATAAATTTATACACCAGAGCTATTAACTTAATTATTCTTTTGTAACTCTCGTGTGAATGAAGCCTTAGGATATTATATATATACAAATAACCTTGTATTTCAGCAACAAGCAGCGGCAACAACAGTATATGTAGCTACAGCCGCCGAATTGGAAGGAGTCACAGGTCTTTATTTCAACAACTGCTTTTATTGTGAAGAGTCGACTTTAGCCAGAGATAGAGATATATCTCATGAAGTTTTCTCAATATCCCTGAAGATGATCCAAGAAAGAATGGGTAACGAATATATAGAGGGATATATACAGAAATATTGTACAGTCAACAAGAAAAATGATAAATAGGTTACATTATACATACATATTGTGAAGGCTATATTTCAAAATAAAACTCGATTTGTAATATCAATACAAAATATATCTGGTTTTTGGTTATTATAAATAAATAATGGTAACGGATTTTAAATAAAATGTTATTATTTGTTATAGAGTGCTTTCATTTCTACTTTATTATATATTATATAGGTACTATCTCCCAGTCTCTTAGTGATTTCTTTCTGATATGCGATATAGAATTAGTTAAGGGCGTCGCCTGTCAATAGCCGAGGGGGGGGGGGGGGGGTTGAAAAATAGTAGAAAGCATGAATTGTTAGTACAGTCGAGGACGTATCAAGTTTTTACTTGCAATACGAGCCTTATAATCAGTGGCGGCTGGTGGGTTATCGAACTGGTGGTGCACTTTACTAAAATATTAAATTAGAAAATGTAACAAAAACCAATTGACATAAACTATGTTTATTTATTATACATTAAATCAATGCGACGACATTTTTCTGAAGCGAAATATTCAATCAAATTTTTATTAAAATCGGATATTGTTTGTATAATTATTTTTTTCAATACTATACAGAAAGTGCATTTTGCAAGTGCATGGTATATCGGAAAAAAGTTTTGATTCTTTTCAATTCCAATTCGTCATACATCGGGGACTCTCGGTAATCTTCGGCCGCTCGTGCGGCGCTCGAGAAAAGACTCATTACTCGGTACATTTCTATGAACTATCTTTTGTTTCACGCGTCAGGCGTATTAATGCTTATCTCATACAAGATGTATTAGGAGTCCTCGTGCACTCGCCGAAGTGCACGAGATATTAATGTAATTAAGCACTCAAACTTTTTGACTATAATTAGAAATTTAATTTTTATACGTTTTTGTATGTTTAGAAAATAAATATTAAAATGGTAATTTAAAAATAAAGATGAAGTAATACTTTATAATTTTCAAATCTTTTGAATTGGTGGTTCAGCGCACAAGTGCACTTAAGGTACAGCCGCCACTGCTTATAATAATTAATGCAGTTGTAACAAAAACTGTACAGGGTCAAACGTGTAAGCTCTATTAGTTATTGACTGTAAAATAAATCAAACTATTATAAAATATAAGTTAAGTATTACATTTAGTAGAAAGAACAGAATGAAAACATTTCCCAAGTTTGTATTTGAATATGAAGTATATTTCTTTGTAGTTACAACATTTTCCTAATAGTGGTCGATAAACATTCTTCTTTCATTAGGTTGGTTAAAACAGATATTTTTCGGGGGTTTTTGGGAAACATTTTGAAAATTTTATTCTGAAAATGTTGTACCTAATAATATAAATTTTGTATATAATCTCACTACGGCCAGACCATTGACATTTCACCCTTACATTTCTTAGTTAGTTTTTTTGACTCTTCCACGAAAGAGCTATCGAAATTTTCAACGCTTTTTTTGGGTCAGGAAATCAGGTTTTTGACTCTCTTTTTCATGATTTTTTTGCGCAATTTCTGGATGCCTAGAACACAACACGTTGTTGTCGGAGGGTTTAAAAGATGCTAGGCAAATACAGTTTATTGGATAGACTTAGATAACGCGTTTGGGACGATAATATATGAATTAATGTGATTCGCGCTAAGAAGGTACAATTTTCTAATATGTAATAGTTAGTGATATGATGACATCATATTACTCAAAATTAAAGCTTATTATTATTATTATTATTACTTATGACTATTTCAAGGTTGTTGTTTATTTGGAATTGTACTTAATATTGTAATTAATATCTTAGTATAAGCAACGGAAAAAAATGGGGTTATCGGTTCAAGTTCAATACACATAATAAATAAATACACAGAATCCGTTTTAACTTTCGGTGACGATCTCGTAATACCGACACGCAACCGAAAATACTGTCGAGTACTATTGGATAGAGGTAAATTCTGTGATTTGGCGGATAGATTGAGGGCAAAAGCAACTAAATGTCTGTGTCTCCGTAGGCGGTATACAAAATAGCTCGCCTACAACCATAAGCCAAGAAAGATTAACAAATTTATCAAAAATATTAATATAGAAGGAGATATTAAACCATAGAGACATAGAGGAAAATATTAAAGATTTTGCAAATAAGAAAGCTAGGACACGAAATAATATAAAAAATTGTTTCGTGTTTTATTTTTCTTAATGAGTGCAAGCGAAAACGAATTCTTTTTACTTATTTATTAAAAATTATCTCATTATATAAAACTAAACAAAATTTATGTCGATCAAAATGAAGACATAAAAATAAATTGAAAAATTGAGAATCATAAAAAAGATGCGGCACATAGGTTCTGCACACACAGGCGCTGTGGGAGGTCGGTGCGGCTATGCGAAACCAATATCCCCAAAGACCATGCCACCAAGGTCAATAAATATTACGAGTTCGCTAATGAACTCACTAGAAATAGGTTCGTCGTAGATTTTACGCGGTAGAAATGGGGGCGAGAGGTATAACAGCCCAAATCTTTCTACAACCTACTAAGACTTGGGCCTCTCCAGAACTAATATCAATTTATTCTTGGAACGTAAACGAAGGCAGCCCTAGTAAATTCGGCTAGGTAGAGAGGAGCTTGGACGATGGAAGTGACCGTTTAAAGCGCGTTAGATAGCGCGCCCCTTAAATCTACACCTGGGTCGCAAGTTTCAGGAGCTGTTGAAGCTCCTCTCCTTGCAACGCGATAGACCCGGCACCCGCACCGTGAATACATTGAATGGTAAGAAGTTTCGTCTCAATTGATAGCAAATTAAGCAAAAAAACGTTTTCAAAACGCAATGCCGCAAAAATCGATATTACTTTTGATTGCTAAGTTTTTATAAATGTTAATATCTACATTTTATTAATAATAATAATATAATTATGTTTATCAAATATGCTTGTATTATCAATCTTATGTAAACATATTTATAATAATACATAAATATTTTTGTCCTAATCTTATCTATTTACATTGAATGAAAAATAATATTCATCGAATTATATATATAATTATAAGCTTTGGTATAATTTAGATAATATTACACTTATATTTAATATCATGTCTTGTTGAGTTTCAAAGGGCAGTCATCAACTTCTTTGGTTTTGGTTTTGATTTTGATGTTGGAAGCAGAAGGGATAGGAAACCGCACACTGAAAAAAAAACATACTTTGTAATTTGTATATACCTATTGTATTAAACAATAATGATAGAAACTAGTGCGCTTATTTTTTAAGCAATACATATCTACTTATTTAGCACCTCAGGCCCTATGTCAATAAATTTGCAGTCCCATAATATATTGTGATAAAACTTAAATGGTAGAATTACCATTTTTCGCAAAAAATATGTTTTTAGGGATATCCTAAGATAATAATTAAAGGTAAATACTTACACACTAAAAGACCTCCGAACAAATAAAAAGTGACTTCACATGCCGCATTGATGAGGAGTCCAGCTACATTAGTGCCGACTATGGAACCAGTTCGACCAACCATCATTGATAGACTTATTGCCATGCCTCTGTTGAAAGTACATAGAAACATTTTAATTAATTCGGAATATTTACTAACTGGGCAAGGAAAGTACAATGATACTTCAAATAATTATTAGAAATGTAACGTTTAAACCTTAATGATATATAATAATTGTTACTTTCCGTACCTTAAATGTGTAGGAAAGATTTCCACTGCGTATGCGTTTACTGGTCCAATAGCCAAGCCAGTTATTGGTACTGATGAAAGAAGTACGGCGAATACCATATTTTCGGTAACAAAGTTAATTAATATACAAAATACTCCAATGATCATATACACCGCTATTAATAATACTTTTTTGCCAAAGAATTTGACTGTACTACTGATGGCTAACGCGATCAACGCGCACGATATGTTTGCTATTATGTTAATTATAAACGTTATTTGATCAATGGAGTCATCGCATTCTTCATTTACTGAACCCGACGTCTGGAAAGGCAAATAACAATAAATTATAATCATAGTAAAATTAACATATGAATATACTAGATTTCAAGATAATCTAGTATCACTTTAATATGTAGGTAATTGTTGTTTGAATCAACAGTATCTACGTACCTACCTCGTTTAATCGCTGCCTTATAACGCCACAAGCCGTCAAACCAACGCTGTTTCCTGAGAACACGCGGTTTAAAACGTCCGGCAGCCACATGTAAAGTCCGTTTAAGCTAAAAAAAAATTATTTATTCAACTTGGCATCTGACCTACAGTCTCTTAAAATTTAACAAACCTCCTTCAAATAAGTACGCTAGTCATACTTGCTAATTAGGTAGGTACTCAAATATAATAATATCTCAGTTTCCCAATAACTTAGTCAACTTACGTTGCAAATATTCCAAAAAACAAGAAGCCATTAAGACACATCCATTTTAAATATGGTGGTTTCAATAATGGCAGTGATTGATCCTTTAGGGAAAGTAGGAAAGATTGACTGCCTGATTTCTGTTCCGGCATTTTGAGTCTTTTAACCTAAAGGAACATATAATTATTAATAACAATTATATATCACTAAATATAGTACCTATGTATTCAAAATTTTTCTATAGTAATGAAATTGTGAATTCTAAAATCATAATTAATTAATTGGTAAAAAAATAAATGACAGTTAGTGTTTCGGATAACTAGGTGTTATTTATTAAACTCTAAAAATGACAGTTGTATCTTGTCTGCCCTAGATCACATTTGCTGAAAAGTTATTGAAACGTCGGCAAAACGTAGAAATAGAATAATAAATAAAGACCTAGTCATTCAAAACACTTAAATTCATTTAAATCTTAGTACTACTATTATTATTTTCTTTGTACTATCGTAATAATTTTCTTACTTAACTAAATATTTAAATATATGTTTTCAATTACTTATAACTAATTATTTAGTAATCTTACTGGGTAGTCACTGGCTTCTTTGCCTTTATTTTTCGCATATATAGTTTGAAGTACTCGTAATGATTCATTGTGGTTTCCTTGTGACACTAGATATTTGGGGCTCTCTGGACCGAAACTCATTATTATAGCACTTATAATAAAAAATGTCGAATACAAAGCGGCCAAAAGTCTCCACGGGCGGTAATAATACAACCCGAAGTCAGAACGGAAATCAAGCGGTAGTACTCCCCACGCCAACACTGGAATTGAGAATAAGTTTTATAAATTATACTAAAAAAGATTTGAAAGATGAGGCCCTGAAAGATGAGGAATAATTGTATTTTCTTCTTCTTTAGTTAGTGGCGCAAATGTCGTGTATAATTGTGTTTTTATAGTTATGCAATGATCTTTGACAAGAACCCTTTTGCGTCCAAGTTTTAAACAGTTTCATTCAGGTAAAACTCTTATCCTCAAAAGCAGTGGCGGCTGTACCTTAAGTGCACTCGTGCGCCGAACCACCAATTCAAAAGATTTAAAAATTACAAATTATCATCATTATTTTTAAATTACCATTTTAATATTTATTTTTAAACATATAAACACGTATAAAAAATTAAATTTCCTAATTATGATCAAAAAGTTTTTACTAAACTATTATCTCGTGCGCTTCGGCAAGTGCACGAAGACTCCTAATACGTCTTGTATGAGATACGCATTAATACGCCTGACGCGTGAAACAAAAGATAGTTCATAGAAGTGTACCGAGTAACGAGTCGGTTCTCGAGTGCCGCACGAGCGGCCGAAGATTACCGAGAGCACCCGATGTGTGACGAATTTGGTCATGATTGACATCTCGTTATATTGTTTTGTTGCATTTTCTAATTTTAATATTTTAGTAAAGTGAACCACCAGTTCGATTACCCACCGGCCGCCACTGCTCAAAAGGTGTCCATAATTATATATTTTATTATTTCTACAGATAATCAAGTAGTATAATCGTGTTGTTTAGACTATATTTCCTTATCATTCAAGTTTCCTTATTCCAATTTATCTATACAGATACTTACAAGGTACAATGGCTGATCCGGTAATTTGCATCGCGTTTGTAATAGACAATGTTATATCTCTGTATCTCTTCGGTAAAATTTCTCCTATGAAACTATATGGCACTGCAGCCGGGCAAGCTATACTGGAACAGAATTTATTATGTAAAATAATAATATATTTTAAAAGAAACTAGATAAAAAGTTAATAATAAATTTATATAAAAATTATTATCACTAACTAAATATTTAAAAAATAACGTTTTACATTTGGGCTGTTTAAAAATATTTAAAATTAATCCCTTAAAGTCTGTTATTAGTGGTTTGAAGTTTCTCAAATTCTTTAAAGATAGATATTCTATTGCAGTTTTCTCAGTGTTTTTTGTACTGCAACAATAGTCGCAGTAACAAAAACCTACAGTTAGTGACAATTTAAAAATGAAAAAGCTAACATTGTAGCCACATACATAATACATATGTATTATAATATTTTCTAACACTTTACAGTAGACAAGAAAAAAATATAATAGATTTTTTTTGTGATATTTTCATTTTCATGAATTTCAATGTTGTCCCCCGTAAAGACTTAAATAATAATGTTATCCGTAATTTGTATGACACTCAGATAATTTTATCGTTACAATTTTGATTATTACTTGTTTATTAAAGAGATATTTTAGGTCGTAAAATAAATAACAGCCGAAAGGGCTTATACGTAATCAAGATTCAGATAAAGACACACAAAGATAAAGTAGTTATTACAATTAAAAAAACATAGGTTTAAATAAAATTTTACGTACCACAAGGAAGATAAAAATTTAAATAGAGTAAAACTAATAAGCTCGGGCATGAAAGATGCTGCTAGGCCGAATATTCCTGCTGCTAATGAACTGTAAATCACCATATATTTTCTTCCTCTAGTATCAGTTAAATAACCCCAAACAAATGAAGTCACGACCACACCTAGAACAATAACATTTCTTAAAGTTTTGTCAACGTATCTCAATTAAAATCATAATTATACCTACAAATTAAATAAAAAATGAAACCAAATTTGTATTCTTACCAATATAGGGTATGGAACCAATGACTCCTCTTTGCGAATCTGTCATTTGTAAATCGCATTTTGCTGCTGGAAGTATGAAGGAGTATCCGATAGGTTCTATGATTGCTGCTATTAGAAATAGAGCTAGTACCAAGCTGTATTTAATGTTGTACCAACCTAACCCTGTAAAAAATGTATAGTTATTTATGAATATATGTATATTAAATTAAAATGCTTATTATAAGTTACGGTAGAAATTTACGTATCTTGCCACCGTTACGTGCCCTCGCTTCCTATATCACAATATAAGAGCGAACGCGTACGATGCGCTCTCGATTTGAGAGTTAACTAAAGAAATTTACGTATTTCCGATCTTAACGCCAGTTTATTCTTTACTTTCATAAATCTATATAACTGATATACGAAATAATAGTCGTATAGGATTTTTTTAAATTGGTTTTATATACACCCATAATTAATGATCGTACATTTCTTTGTAAACAACATTAATTTTGTATCAATATTTCTTTGTATATGAACGACGTCTAGACTATTAATATGTTAACTCGTATCAAACGCGACATTGAACTAGTTTATTGATGTAACTATAATTCTAAGTAAAAGCATCTTTATTTTATTTTGATAATTCACTAGAATTTATGTAATCAAGCGATAAATATAATGTAGTTTAGGATTGCTAACAATAATTGCTAGCAGGTGTGATTATTAACTGTTTACACATTCTAATACTCTTATATTTATATAGAAAAAGGATTCAGACAAATGTATTGTACAAACTTATTGTGCTCGGAACACAATAGTTACTATGTAGAAGTTTTATTTTTTTTATTTCATCCTTATAATATTGTATTCCTGATACCAAAATTAAGACGTAATGAAAATGCTTACGTTAAGTTTGCATTTTTTGACTACATACGAAGCGTAACCAGTTTTTCATTAATTATATTCGCAGATTTGTATTAACATTTAACGTAGATTATAGAATAAGAAACGTGAAGTCCTTCGTATATATGGTGATAAAAACTTATGGTAAGAATGAAGGTTTTTATTTATAATTTCCTAAGTATTGTTTTTTTTTAAAGAAACTACATATTAGACAATTAGTCCCGGACTCGAACAGAAATTCTGTACCACGATAGCATATAAGGTAAAATTATAATAAAAACATTAATTCAAAATATCAAAACATTTCACATAACTTTATGTATGTTAAAAAATATATCCGAATTAATTAGCCTGTTTTAATAATTCTGTACAATGTGTTAAAATTTAAAAAAGTAATGACTTATCAAATGGCATAGATCCTATTTTATTGAAAGTATGGTTGAAATTAAACCACTTATTTTTTTTGACTGTAAAATCGATATTATCTAAATAGTTATTTTTATTTCAATCTGATAAAATTAAATTTGTTATCTTAGATTAATGATTGCCTCCTTATTATAGAGAAATAAAGTTAATATGTCATTGAAACGTTATCACATATATTTTTAATTTTTTTCGTAGTCATAATTTATTTAAAATTATTTCATTAATAAATTTTCATAAATAAAATGTTTATTTTTTTTTCGCTTATCGGAACCCACTGCTGAGCAAGGCGTCTTTCTCTTATAGTTTATTATAATTTAGTTGATATTTATCCGACACGTGTTTTGTTTTTGTTATACGTTTTCTAATTGATTATTATGTTCAATGAAAAAATATTTGTGTGAAAATAAAACAATGAGTGTTAATATGTATATGTATGTATGTAAACATATTGGAAACAAAAATCAGCAAAAATCACTAACCGGCGATGTCCAGAGCTTGATCCAAATCAATTTCATTATCACTGTGAACATTCTGTGAAACTGTATTAATTTTTGTCACCATATTACACCGTTTTATAGCAACGCTCTTAATTAACTGATAGTGACACGACCGTCTCCAACAGCCAACTGTTTTGAATATTTTACAATCGCGTATATGAACCCTATATAATTATCTTCCCACTGTATCCGTGATAGCGAAATTCATAAATGCGAATGAATAATCCAACCGATAGCTTCTATTTCCTTTTATAACAATAATAAATAATTTACGTGCACGCAAATAAAGGGCAAATTCGCTGTCATCCTAATAGCAGGTTGGTATTCAACATCGCGTGTTCTTCTATAATAGATTTTAATATTGTTGGTACGAAAAGTTCTTTCTATGTAGCAAATCTTTAATATAAAAGAAAAATATAAGGTTACTTTGTAATTTATGATGGATAATTCGTTTAATTTCTCTATTTATTGATTAATTGAGGAAAGGAAATAATGTTTTTGTGAAGTGCTAAGACCTTAGACATGAGTTTTGATTATAGTTCAGATTTATTGATTAAAGATTGCATAAATTCTAGGTGATACTAATTTCCGTTTAGAGGTACTATTCATATTAATGGAATTTTACTTAAAAATAAACTGCGGGAAAGTTTGATTTTGTGTAACGATTCCTTATGGGATTAAATTGATAAAGACTAAAATTTCATATCATGAAAGCTTGTACAAATTATGCTCTCCATATTATGTTTTTTGAGGAAAACATTTTTTTTAATAAAATTATTTACCTTCTATAATATGTTTAGTTTTGAATATTTATAGTATTCTTTAGTTAAGTGTTTTTAAAATATTGTAATTTTACTGTATTAGTAATATTGACTACATGTATAATGTATGTATTTATGAATATTTACAATTACAAAAAAAACACGGAAAGGAACAAGCCCTTATAAGTTATATTAGGTATTCTATATGGTAAGTCTTATTAAAAAAACAAAAATATTCAGCATTTTCCTTCTGGTTTTTGCGAAGGTTAATAAAATTAGAAATATATAAAAAAATAAAATAACATAACTATTTTTCATTTCTTTTCCCACATCGGGTTTTGTTTCACCACGATTTAATTTCTGGAGAAGCGAGGTATTGTAATTATTGTTATATTTATATATTAAAACTATCTATTAAAAAACAAATTTGCTTAGCATTTTCCTTCAAAGTTTTTGCGAAGGTTAATAAAATTAAAAATATATAAAAAAATAAAAACCAAAATCATTTTCCTTTTATTTTTCCACATCGAGTTATGTTTCAAGAGAAGCAAGATATTGTAATTATTGTTATATTTTTATATTAAAACTACCTTTGACGATTAAGAGGAAATATTTATACCAAGTGTTACGTTTTTCGTCATATTATCTTTTGGTAAATTATATATGGGCAAAATTTGATAAGACACTGTACCGATTGAGTGCAATAAAGAATATAAACATATACAATTATTATATACATTCATATGTATAACTTTATTTTCTTAAACTTGGCCTTGTCTATATTTATCTCATGCTTGACTCTTGAATACATCTTATATCTTTGTATTACATAGTTTTAAGATAAGATGTATATATACATAAAGCTACGTAGTTCAATCTCTCTTAATGTAAAACCATGCTTTTCATATCAATCTTAAAGAAAAAAGTTTTGATTAGTTAATTCCTTTTTGGTACATAGTATTTCATAAATGGTAAATTTATATTGGAATAAAATCTAAAATCGTAATTTGATAAATATTAATTATTATATGACAAAAATTACTTAAAATGAAAGAACTTTGAAAAAATGTAGTCTCCTTGGCACATAATAATGTATTTTTTGCGCTTTCCATTAAGATAACGTTTTCTTCTTCCTACTTAACAAAATAATGAAAGAATATTTTTTAATGATAATTTTTTAATGTAATGTAAATGTAAATGGAATGTCATGTTTTTTAAAAACATGTTCATTCTCGTTTTCCTAATATATTTGGAATTAAAGGGTGTGCAAGAAACAAAGAATTCGCTTACATATTTTTATTGACTAGTCCCATATATGAAAATACAAAATTATCGAATTGTCTTAAAGTAATTTCTATTTTCGATATTCGATCAAAATGGTTGAGGTAAAATGTGAAGTTAATTTGATAAAAAATGGTTGTCTTTAATATGTTCAAAAAAGTTTTGTGAGGTTGATAACTCCTTTCATATATGTATAAAGCGCCCTAAGTATTTGAGAAAACCTACAATTTTATAATCTTAAAACCGATTTTTGTTTTAAAACTTGATGGTACATGAATATACTCTCATTAGCGTCTCTTATCTACGTGGTTGGATAACAGTTATAAATCATAAGAAATTTATCAGTCACAAAATTAATCTGCACATATACATAATAAAATAGTTTATTACTTTTATCACACTTTTGCACAAAAAAATTAAGTCCGTTTTTAAAACATAAATTCCTTTTTTGCCTATGTCTCTCTCGCTTTTTTCATGCCAATCTTTCAAACTAATGTTCATATTTGAAAGAATTGTATTTAAATTTAAATTTTAATAATACATATATTTTTATTATAAAGAATGTAAAGAATAAATCTTTATTTACTTAATAAACAGGCAGTTAGTTATAGATTTGGCAGAAAGATAAAAGTACTTTTTAATTTTGCACAAACCTTACATGTACCAAAGATAATGAATTATTGCGAAATTATCAGAAATAAGTTCGACATTGAAAATATCGTGTAAAAAATTAACAGTACCATTTCAGTAACCTTTAGTTTCTTTAATAAAAAATAACGTTCAATTTAAATTCTAATAAATTAATTTAAAAAAAATAATCCGAGGAAAAACCTAAATAATTTTTAAATAAAATACGATAACCGGACTATATTTCTATATTTTTAAATAAATTTTAGTGATATTATTACAGTTTGTCTACTAGCCTTATTTAAAACACTTCTGCAACAAAGATACCATATTTAACGCATATAACCTCGAAACACGTGTTGTTAGATTACTTTTTTGTAATTTCTATGTAAATTTATTTAAAAAAGTGCAAAGAGAGATCCTGTTAAATAAATGCATTCTTTTGTATACATCCGTAATCTAATTAAATTATTTCCACATTCTTAGAACTTTAGTTATTTATTATAATATTTACTTTATTATTCCAGATCCTTTAATAATTTATAACGTGATATAATTTTTAATATTATCACAGTGGTTTTCGTATTGAGGGGTATCAATTTCAGTGAAACACCTCAATAATTTTATCAATGAAAAGCAGTCGATAGATTGTAAAAAATGTTAAAAAATACTTGTTGGAAATTATAATTATTTTTGAAAAACAAAGAATATTTTCGAATTAAAGTCGACTATTTTTCTATATAATTATATCAGCTAGTAAAGAGACAGTAAAAAAGGAGTCACAACTGGAGTTAGAAGCTAGCTAGAACAATCAAAGAGACTGAGTAAAGTTGGAAAAAATTTGTGCATTTAATAAAAACACTTCTATTTATATATTTATATTGATGGAAAACATGGGTATAGAATTAATGTTGTATAATTTTAATTTTCTTTGAAATGTTTTACAAACAAGAACAGTGCAATAAAAATATTACGTTGATAGTGCCATAATTAGATAGCAATCTTTTACTTATCTTAGTAAATACAGTTAATGTTGATGTGTAAGTATTTTCAGACTTGTAGTTTTATACCTATTAAACAAATAAAATAATACCTTGCTTTAAATATATTTTTATAAATTGACTTCCCTGACTTCTCTAATCGATTCTGACGACTCTATTCTCCAATGGAATAATTAATTTCTATTTTTTATCTTGGTTAATCTTGGCCTTCATCCTTGCAAAGTACGAACACAGTATATTCTGCCAGTGTCGTGTAGAATGGAGGAGACACGATCCGGGATTTACTTAGGAATGTAGTAAATTTAACAAATTCGACTGAAGTCACAAGGAGAAACTTTGTGAGTAGATATAAAACATCACCTTTCAATCTTGCCTATATAAAAGCAATGTGTTTTGACAGTGTCACTTGCTCTAAAATAGATATTAGATCTCCCAGCATTAAAACTTCAGAACGATTTCTATATGAAGTGTATGATATCTCATTATATCGTTTATACAATATGATTATTATTCTAACCTCATATGTATTGCGATTCTTCCCAAATTGTCTGTTTTGTCAATGGTCATTCTTCTAGTAAATTATAAATACTTTAATATTTTACTGAGTTCATATTGTATTGGTATCTGAGGCATAATCTTTTCTAGTATTTATACTTTACTCGTAAAACTTTTATGGTTATTGGGACCGGTTTTTCAGCAAGTGACATAATTTTATCTTAAATAACCAACTATCTCGATGTTTTCTCTAGGCAATATCATATTTTAATATGACATTGGTGGATTATAGTGTGCACGTTATCTCAAGGATATTGCATACTTAAACCTGTTCCTATCATTTGATAAACACTGGTGAGAGTTAAAGGAAAGTCAACGTTTGCGAGAACATTTAAAGTATATAAAGTAGTTTGAAACTAGCATCTTAACTGTAATTTGTAAAAGCAGTTTTAATCTAATGAATGAGATTGTGTGTGCATTTGTTATCTATATTTGAATGGCATTTAATTTTACAATGTAGTATTACTTAAAGCGTATAGGAAACAAAGAAATAGCTAGAAAATATGTATCAAAAGGAATGAACGGTATTATACAGATTAAGGAAATTAATTAATATGATCCATTTTATGACTGACTTGAAACAATATCAAAAATTAACTATCATAGCCTTATTTGTATTTTTATTACTAAAAATAAAACTGGGTCGTAATCTATTTGTCTATTTAATTAGTCATTTAATCATTTTTGCTATGTAACTTAAAATTATAAGATAATAATGTTTTGATTGGACAATTCTTTATCAAAAACATTTTAGGGTTCCGTTCAAAAAATGTAAAACCTTTGATTAAAACTCCATTGTTGGTCCATCTATGTAACTGTATAATATGGTGACAATATTTGAATCTCAAGAACCATTCATATTTGACTGTTGAAATTTTCCCAGATTGTGTATTGAGGTTGAAGCTGTAATAATAAAAATAATAAAATGAGTGTTCAAAGGTGCTTCGTATAACAAACCTGTTTTTGTTTGCCAATTTTAATAGTAGTGATTGAAACCCTCGTGCTTAAATCCAACTCCGACTTGGCTGGTTTTTTAGTATCATAAGGATGAATAATATGCTTATTTGCTAAATGTAATATGTTGACGTTTTATGATCTCGACTATGGTTTTATAACTTACCATATAATACGTAACAGATAAAATCAAATAATGAATATCTTCGTTTAAAATATAATAAAAAAAATATTTTTATTCTCTAGACTTAAAATTTGTTATTTATATATCTTACTTTTAGATGATTCCCATCTCCTTTTCTAGGCAGCTACAATTTTCGTTAGTGCGGATAAGTCTTTTAGCCTTTACTTCCCTCGATGACAAAATTTTTTTCAGTAATAATTGTTCCTGATATAGTACTTCTGCTTCTTCCTTAAGATTGGTGATAATTTTTTCTATTGGCACCAACGTATCATAAACAGTTTTAAGAGTATTTTTTAATAACCGATCCTTATTGATTATTGTTTCTGAGCAGTATCCACGCACCAAATTCCTTTCCTCTTTAGATGCAATGCTTGTAGAGCCTGGTATCAAAATAAGCAGTTTACAGTTAGTATAAAAATTAAAAACAACATGTATCCTTAAAAAACCGTGTATAATGTCACTTAGAGAATTACCTTCGTTGTGCTTATTGTTCCGTTTTATTTGAATTACCATATCGGTTTCGGAATCCATCCTTATTTTAATTTCTTTATCATTTTCTTTAAGAGCAGTTTTAATAGTAGTTATTTTATTTTGTGGGTAAACAGTTAAATCTATCGTGGGATCTAATGTTGTAATGGTGTAGCCAAAATCGTTTGCTAACGAGTGGAAGGCAAAATTAATGAATATAGAAGAGTCTTTTGTATCGTTTGACGAACCTTTAGCTTGTGGTTTTGAATATTTTTTACTAATACTCTGGTCCCTATTACCAGATTGGAGGGACATTAATTCATGATCAATTGTTTCTTTCGGTTCTTTATCTAATTGAGTGCTGTCTTTAATGAAATCATTGGTTTGAGATGTATTTAAACTGTCCTTCTTTTGAGATAGAGAACTTAGGCGAGTGACATTTTTATTTATATTTTCCTCAAGCATTATATTATCAGAGTGTTTAATAGCTCGAATGGACTTGTCATCATTCGTTGTCCATTCATACAAATTATTGCTGAGACCTTTATGAAGCAAGATATTTTGTTTTAAATCAATGGCTTCATTATCGCCGTCTTTTATTTTTGTTCGAATATTATTTAAGTCTTGGCCCGTTCGTAAAATATTAGAATCAGTAAATACATGGGAGGAATTGTCAAATGTATTTTGATCTTGAATACTGTCGTTCGGTATACCTTCTGATTTTGAGATTTGTGGTAAAGAACTGAGCTCTTTCAAAAGACTTAATTGACTATCTCTAGAATGATGAAGATCAGATTCTATTATTTCTTGTTTTAATGATATGTCACGAAGACTTCCATTTGTATTTTGATTTTCTTCATAAGATTTTGAAATACTTTTAGGAGCAAAAGTGCTTGTTGGTAACTCTTTAAATGTTGATGCTTTATTTTCAATAGACATTTCTTTCAAATCATCAGAACTAGCACTTAATGGTTTTTCAGATACGATAGCTTTTGAGCCTGGCTTACTAAGATTTTCTAAATTTAAGTCAGCAGTTTTCAGAGAGTTCACCTCATTAAGTGATATTTTAGATGATAATGATTTAATTGCAATATCCGAGATATTATTATTTATTTTATTGGAACTTTCAGAATGTTTGTCAAAATTTTCATTCACACTTGATTTATTCTGTAATTCTGGTTTTTCTGTTGACAATGTTATTGTTTCGGTCAAGTTCTCAATCGGTTCCTTTAAATTTACTTCAGAACCACCTTTAGAATCCAATGATTTATTTTGCAACTAAAATAAAAATATTAAAGAGAAAAATTTACGGATGCATAAATTTACTTCAAATAGTCAGAATACTAGTCCCACATTGAATTAAGTAAAGAAAGCTTAGACTTTTGCTAGTAGTCATTTAAATAAAAGTAATATTTTCGTGTGTACTATTCGTTTTTTTATTTTTATTTTAAACTACATACTCCTTTCGTTTCGGCTATTTAGCAGCAACAGAAACTTCTATGTGTCGTCTTATGTATTTTAAAATAATAAAATGACGCGTAGAACAACCGAAAATATTACTTTTATTTAAGTAACGGAAATCAATACTGTTATTCGACTTAACTTACTGAAATTTCATTTCTAATATTATCAATATCGACCTCGTTGCTAGTTTTTACAGATATTTTGCTTGAATCTTTTATATCTTTGCTTTTTATAGAATCTTTTTCAAATACATCTTTAGTTTCCGGGTAAAATATATCACTCAATTCATGAGTCAATCGGATATCACTTTTAGCATTTGTGTCAGAAATAATTTCATTTTCTGCCTGGTTAATGAGCCTGCTTAATTGGTCAACTGAAATTTTTGTTATTTCCTCCTGGCTCAACTGTAGATCAGTTTTGTTAATTGGTATAGAGTCTTCATTTGTTATTGTTGGGCCAGAATCTATTACAGCATCATATTTCAAAGCGTTTTTTTCACGTTCCTTATTTTGCATTGATTCTAAAAAGGTACTCGTTTCATTAGACAATTGAGATTTTCTTTCAATGTTTATGTCAGTGTTACTTTCATATTTTGGATGTTTTGGAAAACTGTCAAATTGATCCATCGACATTTCAGGTAATTTTTCTTCGCTTAACTTTACATTAGATTTGCTTACTTGTATTGTGTCATCATTTGTAATTATTTCCTTAGAACTTCTTAAATCTTCATTTCTAAGAGAATCTTTTTCAAACGTTTCTTTTTCCGTTGGATCTAAAATATTTTTAACTCCATCAAGTACTTGATTTTCTATTTTGATATCTTTATCACCTATGATTTCATTTTTTGAGTTTGTTAAAATTTTACTTAGATCGTCAATTATTGATGTTTTATTTGATTCCCCATGGCTGACTTTTAAATTAGACTTGCTAAGTTTTTTTGAATCATGCTTCTCAACGGTTACCCCAGGATATTTTGAAGTTTCATATTTCAAGGAGTCCTTCATAAATGTCTCAATTTTATTTGGGTCTAAAAGATTATTCATTCCGTTGTGCAAACTAGTTTCTTCTTCCACAGGTTTGTCAGCAATACTATTTATTTCTAAATTATTCAAATGATAGTTCAATTCAGAAAGTGAGTTTTTTATTAATTTTTCACCTCTCAATTTAGCTGAACTTGGTCGGTTGTTTTCTTCTGGTTCTATAACTTTGTTCTCACCGAAAATGTTTTCTACTTCCATCTTTTGTATTAAATTCATTTTGACTGATTGACTCGGTGTATCAATATGACTTTCTGGCAACTTAGACACAATATTCTGATTTCGTATCCCGGATTTATCTGTTGCAGTTATTTGTTCTTGTGAAAATATTTCCTCACCTTCTCTTAAAATTTTGATATCAGGATTATAATCTAAACCTTCAGATTTGACTGGTTTCTTAGAAAACTCTTCATTTCTCGATGAAAGAATCGATTTCACAGGAGTTTCTTGTTCTTGAATTACGTCTTGGGAAGGTTCATCACATGATGGGGATGTTGTTGTCAATGAATCAGATAACATTTCACTTGGTGTTTGACTTTGAATTGCATACTCATTATTAATATATGCCTCTTTTACCTTACTGTCTTTGTCATTGTAATCATCATAGCTCTTAAATTGCTTTGTTTTCTCTTTTCTCGGAGGCATAAAATAGGAAACAGGAAAATCATCGGTTAATTTTCGGGAAGTTTGTTCAGAGTTAACTCTAGATCTATCCTTTTTACTTTGACTATCTCTGTTTTTGATATAACTAGATGACACTGGTAAAGGGTAAGTAACAAGAGGTTCTGAATCTTCAATATTCTCGGTCAAATCGGTGCAAGATTCATAAAAATCTTCACGTTCTTGATCCAAAGTTTGTTTTTTTAATCCTACTTCCGCTTTATTTTTACCTGAATCTAATAGAATTTTATTTATGTCATTTGTCTGTGGAGATTTCTCTGCAATTTGATTGTCTTCAAACGCGGGTTTGTAAATGTACTTATCCTCACCAAACGGTGGATCAAGACAGCCACCTAAAGAATGTATAACAAAATATATAATACTGAAATATGTATGTATGTTACGTAGATAATATATATGTTTAAATTATGTTTTATTGACATGCAGTTAAAGCATGCTATATCTAGAAATTAATTATTCACGTACCAGGTTTGCATTTACCCAAAAATGGCTTAGGTGTTTTAAATGTGTTCGTATAGGAGGGAGAAAAAACATTTTTCTTTAAGGAAAATCCCTCGTTTGTAGTTTTAACATGGGCGTCTTCTTGTCCAGATGAACTTCTATTTAACTCGTTAGATGTGCTCGGCATATAGGAGTATTCTTCTTCATCGTTATGAATGCTGAGACATCCTCCTGTAGGTTATAAATAACAATGAGTTTTTCGTAACAAATACTTTAACTAACTTTAACCTACCAGGTCTAAACATTTGTAATAGTCCTCTGTGAGATTTTCTGCCTCGTTCATCTTTATTCGGCTCCATGACAAGATCGAAAGACATAATAGTTTGATCGCTGCTAACAAGTCGTAATTTTTTTGGCCAACTGTTAACGTTAAACTTTGGAACGGATATCACTCCATGTTTTCCTTTTAAAAGTTGATCCTTGTTTTTAATTCTAATCTTTACATTTACTGGTGTCAGTAAACTGTTAGTAGTATTTCGCTCAGTGGGTGAAGCATTATTATGAACGGCTACAACTTCAAAGGGAATAAAAGTATTTGGTTCTTGTATTACGTCTTTGTGGGTCATGTCTAAAATCAAAGAATTCGTTTTTAAGTAAGAAAATCTTTTGTAAACTAAATATTTTTTTATGTAGGTACTCTTTATTTTCTGCTATAAAACTGTTCTATTATAAAGTCATCATAAGTTTCAGGTTATCTACTGATTTTTATTTAAAATAAGAAAATATTCTTGCATATAATTAAAGGCGGTATAACTTGATTATAAATAAAAGAATAAATGTGAATAAATTTATTTTCAATAAGTCACAAAACACTCAGTTATCAGACACAAAAGAATAAACAACGCGATTAGATTGTCTTTTTCTTTGGTCATCACGCGTCTTATTAGTAAATATTTTGATAGGATTATACTTATGTTGGAAGAAATGTTTCGGCGCTTCATTTGTATTTAAGCCTAAGGATGAACATTTTCTTATTAGCTCATCAAGAAGTAATTTTAGTGGAAAAACTTCTTCCTCCATTTTTTGCACAAAATGCGCGATTCGTATTGTAGGCTCTACTCGTGAGGCGTTGTTGAAAGATAAGTTATTGGTAGAGAAACATTGTGTATTCCTAACATTATTGACGAGAATTCTTTCTTCTTTAGGTTTTACAAAATATGGAACTGATATATCTGTGTTTACTTTATTGTTACAAAAGAATATATTATCTGCAGTATTTAATTTGCATGTTGGCGTTATGCATAATCTTTTCTTTAACTTTTCGTCACGCCTTAAAATCGATGAATGTTCAGAACAATATAAAGATCCCGTGTTTGTTTTGATTTTTTCATTTCCAGTGCTTTTATCAATTTTACTATTAGTTACAGTAAGGACCTCTTGGTCGATACCGTCTCCTACTGAAAATAAACAAAAATGAATAGATGTACAACCTTATTAAACTTGATTGTAATTTAAAACATATTTTTCATACCTTTACTTTTATACTCGTTTTGTTTTAACACGATCGTATCGTCCGTTTTTGTATTAATATTTGCCACTGTTTTTTCTTTTGAGACCAATTCTTGGCTAATTTCAATGATATTATTTGTAACTAACAAGGGATCTCGTTTCACACAAGTCTTTTTTAAAGTTTCATTGTTACGACTTTCAGATAGAACTTTGCTTAAAATAATATTATCACTTATTTGTTTACGAACATCTCCAGAACACAGATTATGACCCGATATTGATGACAGAAGATCAATACAAGAATAGTACATTTTCAGTTTTTTCTCAGGCTCTCTCTTTCTAAGTATAATTTTGTAAGTCATAGGAACAATGTACTCCATAGATAGTGACTGTTGCTTCCATTCTATTTTGTCAAGATGTTCAATACGAGACACTTTTGGTATTATTTCAAGCCAACAACAGTTGGAACTTGAAACGTGTCTCACAAACGGCGTGAACTTAATTCGAATATATTCGGTCATATTAAAAAAAAAACAATCAATAGACTGACTTTATGACACTGGAAAATTAATAAAAATAAAAGACATAAATAAAAACACAATATATTTAACATTAAAAAATATATAATTATTGTTAACGTTATTATTGAAAACATTTAAAGTTTATGTTTAATTTAAGAGAAAACTTACCTTATTTGCGTTATTTTGTTTATTTCAAATATATTTTGTTTGAGAATGTTATATTATACGGTACTAAAATTTTGAAATTTTGTATTTAAATGACAGTGTCAGATCTACATATTAACATTTTTATTGTTACATTTAAAGAGGTTTTATAAACATAAAATATAAGACATGCATCATTAGGCATTCATAGAAACTTTTTATTATTACCGTTTACTGACATGAATTTCCAAAAAAAATATTATTTTTATATTCAGCTTCTAAGTATTTATGAAGGTTATCAAGTTAATTAATGCAAGGGTATTGTTGAAATGAAAATTTTCCCATCGAATAATACCTTTTTTAATTTTCACAACTCTCACTACTATACATTACATAGAAACACCACGAGACAATAGTTTTAAATTCCACGATATGCAACACATAGGTATTTATTGCTTCTAGAAAATAATGCACTTAGCAGACATTACAAAACCAATAAAAAAATATTTAAACAGAATTTCATAGATACAATTTGAATTCAAGGAAATAATTCTAGCTTTACAAGAATTCGGAAATCCTTACAAATAAAGCATAATACTCTAAAATACATATATTTACAAAACATTTACACATTGGCTGATTTCTGAATAGGCGGTATATTTTTGTAAACGATTGTATTCTTCGCGGCAATTTAATACAAACTTAAAAGGTATATTTGAGGCAAATTTTATAATTTACTACCCATACTTGGTTAACGCCATCATGATGTGTTCGTTGAGAAATTAAATAGGAGGCCTTTCCATTAAATGCTTTCGTTACTTATAAAAAATTGTACAAATATGCATTAAGTTGAGTTTGACTAATTTATGCATTTTTTCCCACTATATCTACATACAATTTTTGACATTTTAATACAATTTAAAACTTAAAATATTTTATTTTTGACTCACTATATTAAAATGTACACTACTTATTAAGACTTATTAAATATCCCTAATAAAAACTAAAGGGTTTTTTAACCACATACTATGACTAGATTTATGAGATCAATTTGAAAGCCAATTCCTTTAACTTATGACTAATTTTTTGTACAAAACTTACTTATTAGAGATTTATTTTTAAATTGTAAAAAACTTCGCTGTATCATTTGTTGTTTTGCACTAATTCAATGACCTACATATTTAACTTTTTGTATAAAACTGACATTATGGTTATCTTTTTATATAAAAAATTGGGCACTTGTTTTAATTTATTTGCAGAGTTAACTATTATTGTTAATTCAATTAAAGCACGAATATGAATATAATTCAAAGCATCTTATTAAGGAAATGGTGTTTCGACAAGCTTATTACAAACAAATAAAAAAATTGCTCAGAAAATAACCATTCCATTGTATAAAAGTGACAAAACATGATCACTGTCTATCAATGTAATCATTGTCTAAAACAATAATTTCTCTCATTTAAATCTAAGAAAATATATAGTGGCAGTGCAAAAGTCGGAACTTTAGCATTATTTAGTTCTAAATATATGATAACACTTAAAAGCTATATCGTAATACATAACGTAAAACTATAATGTATTGCATACATGTCCCACCTATCAAGTCCTACTCGCATCTATACCTATTCAAATTTGTAACATCCATCGTGCTCTGTTTTGCGTCACGCAAATTACCTAATCTCGTGCGTAATTCATTTACTCTATAGTATAAAGATAGGTGGAGTTTACTTTACAATAGTCATTATCGAAAAGACGCTATAAATATGAACTGTTAAATTAATTTTACAATATTTGTGAACTGGTATCAATATCGATTCAGAACGCCTAATCGCCTGTAGTTTTAAATTTAAATTCAGTGCGTTTTAAGTACCGTCCAAAAAACTTTTTAGAATTGCTCTATCTTCTTGAAAGCACATGTTAGAACTGAATTTACATTTTTTTTCACAGAATTCGTATGGAATTTTATAATGCAATGCAATGCAATCAATGCAATGATATCCTTAATAATCGTAAAAATTATCAGCTTTTTGGACATTTATTAAAGGGTGCCTACTATCCTTATTTATACTGTTTTGAATATAATAATGGACATAATCAATATTGCTTTGAAACTGAAATACGAGTGGAATGAAATTTGCATCGAAAATTACAGTTTACGCACGAGCTGCCTTACATTTAACTATGCGGTGCTACAGTAAAGTATAATAATAAACTGAAACTGTATGGACCCATTTAAGGGAAACAAAGAACGTGCTTTTCAAACATAAATGTATAAAAGTATAAATCTTATTTTATATTAATAACTATTTTAATGTTTACAACTTGCATTCTGTTTACTGAAATGTTTTAGAGTCACTTAACATGTAGCACCGGCTTACACATGTAACACACCGTTTTCCTTACCGATTTACGATCCAAATAAAAATTGGTTTTTGACAGATTCAATATAACGATAAATAATAAGTACTGGAACTTTACAAATAAATATTAAACATATATTTAATAACAAGTAATTAAGACAGGAAACAAAAAATAAACACATGACAAAAATACCATTTTATGGTCATCAAATGACTAAAATTAAAAAGCATATATTAGAAAACATTTATACAACAAATATTATAAATAGATTTATTACATTAAGATGGTATGTTAAAAAATAGAATATTTAATTCCTTGCTAAGTCCGAACAACATAACTTATGAAAAATTTATATATGCCATCTCTCCTCTGCCGGAAAAAAAGTAAAATAATATAAAACAGTACTAAAATAAACAAGTATATAAATTAATAAAACAAATATTTACGTACATTTAATTTATACGTTGTTTTACGACCGCATATTATTCAGTCCACTTAATACTATAAAATGACTAGAGTTCACCCATCTTTTTTCTTTCAACTAAATGACTAGACTTATTTAAAGTACCTTAAAATAGATTCATGTGTAATTGCGCGTTTTCATTTCAAGAACTGAACGAAACGACGATTTGGTTCAGTCGAAAATAATATTTTTAATAACTGTTGTATTATTAACTAAATTCCTATAATATAATGTATAGTAATGAGGTGTAAAACTGCTGTCGCGAATACAAAATATACACACGAATTAAATAAGTACTTTAAGCGTTTTTCATAAAAAAACTTTCCCTAATTAATTATTATTTTTACAAACTTTTCGAGGATTTACAAAATATAACTTGTCAACGTTTTCGCCCTTATATTTAAACGTTTTTGCGGCACATGCCAAATCTAAAAAATAAGCAAACTACAAATGAATTACCTATTTGTAATATTCTACAATAATACACATAAATTCACAGTAAATTGGACCATTAAAATAATTTTTCTTTAAATTTAAATGTCTATTGGAAGTTGACAATTGTCTTTATATGAATATAATATCTTGAGAGATGTGATATACATATATTGACCTAAAGAAATATAAAAAATCAAGTAAGATTGAAATATATTTCATAGAATTACAAATATTTTGACGCGTGTGACAAAGACTTAGAAAGAAATTGTAGTGAAGACGAGCAGGAGCAATTTTGACAGAATTCTTTTAAATATATTAAAGTTAATTTTTACTATTATGAAATAATTCTCACTGCAGATTTTTCACCTCTCAAGCTACCTAAGAAACTAAGGACACCTAGCAGAACCAACTGTCAACATAGTACCTGAAATACCTGACCATATGTATGTTATTTTAAAAAGGCACCCATAGGGCAGTAAACGTTCTCATAAAAAATTTTGTTTAGTTGTAATTTCATTAAAATTCCCCAATTTATTTAATGGCAAAAGACTTGATGGACCACGAACGTCGTTCATATCTCAATACGTTAACATATCTGTGTCATCTTGCAACACGTTCCCACCAGCATCAGTTTGAAATGCGATGGCCGTTGATCCGGTTCAGGTGCAAAGACCGGAATTATCCACTAGAGATCGAGCCAATACATCTGCTGCTGCTATATCGCTCACTTTACCTTCAAAATGTCCTCTAACGTGGAACATAAACTCTGCTTTACCAGCGAACTCCTGACGGCACATCAGGCAGAGGTGATGTGCGTGTGTGTGTTGCCTCTCTGGTGCGTAGTGTGTGTGACCGTGGGAGAAGTATGCTCCACCTCCCCCACCCCCTCCTCCTTCGTTAACAACAGTCGCAGATGATACGGAGGTAGCGATGCCGTGGTTATTCAAGATCTGCTGGTTCTGATTGTGATGATGAAGTAGCTGTAGTTTCTCCTGATTCGTTAAATGAAGCTTCTCCTGTTGCTGTAAAGCAGAAATAATAATATTGTTATAAAAATTACATTCATGAGACACTTAAATATAATTATAATAGAATTCAAACTATTCACCTGATGCTGTGTAGCTTGTTGCATTTTATCCTGTAGGAGTTTATTGTCTGGTAGATGTGACTTGGCGTGTGCACTCCACTCGTCTCTGGTAGCAAACAACCTTCCGCAGAGTTCACACGACCAGGACACGACCATCCCTGCTGTGGCCGCTGACACGGAGCCACTTGAACCGCTTGTATGCACTAGATTAGTATTCTGAAGATAGGAAACGAAATCAGTCAAAACTAAAGTAAAAGCTTATTTTAATATGAACTACCATTTTCAACAATAATACCTTTTATTATTTGATTTAATAATGATACGTCTTTGTTATATTTAACATTTTAGTTTAATTTTTGAGGACGTAAATCAATTTACTGTGAAATGATAAAAAGCTAGATTGCTAAGACACCACTAGCGTTGTTTGACTTGTTTCAGCAAGTTTTTTTGTCTATTTCATGCAATAACACTTATTAAAATAATATTAAAATAAATTATATGAACTATGTATACAAACCAGAAAACTCATAGTTGACATGGAAACTAACAAAGAAAATATGATAAGTTTAACATAAGCACGAAGACAGTAACATTTCATGCTTTGATGTCTTTTTGGGATTTACCGTAAAGTTGTGTCCAGGTACCTGGCAGACCTGAATCGACTGCTGATGTGAGTGCTGCTGCTGCTGCTGCTGTTGTTGCTGTTGCTGCTGAGCAACAGCTGCGATCTCGGCCTGACTTGGTTTAGTATCTTCTTGCTTGGTTAGTTGAGGCTTTACGTCGTCCAGCTTGAGAGCTGTGAAAACCCGTACAATTTCTTAGTGTAGAAAGTAATAAAGATTTGCCATAAATAGCAAGTATTCAATAGGAGTCGTTATTGTTTTTAATTTAAAATGTTCTTTCGTGTAATATATTTTCTTATAATAAGACTTAATTGAGAAAACAATTTCAGAAACCATTAGTATCTTTGGAAGTATGTAGATTACGTACGAGGTATTGTAATAGTCCGTTTACCCAATGGCGCTATATTTGATGGAGTGATGTGCTTCAATTTGTTCATATGAAGAACTAACTTATCCCTTCTTGCAAACGCTTTGTTACACACTTCACAAACGTATGGCTTCTCACCTATAAATAAACCACATTTAACAAAATATATATGATTATGTTACGTTATGAGTATTTTAGAAATCTTTACCAGTATGTATCCTCATATGAATTGTTAGTTTGTCTTTGCGCGCTAATCCTTTACCGCAGACAGTGCATTCAAATGCTTTGCTTCCTAAAAAAAATTAAGGTATTTCTTTGATATGTATGAATATACCAACTACTAAAACTCGGAAATTATAATTGTTATTGTTTTTATGTTAAATAATTGTAATCATTTTAATATTTTATGGTATTATTCTATGAAATTAAACCAGGAAAAATTCAATTTCAAATGTCGTTTCACAAAAACTAACAATCATTGGGTTTAAAGCGACGTCATGACAATCATGACCATATCAACATCATTAAATAACATAATTTTTTATACTTTATTAAATGGTACAACATATATATATATTTTTAAAATTCTAATTAAGAAATACCTTCATTCGTAGAGCTCGTAGGTTTAATGGCAGGATGTTTTCGGATTGCAGTTCCTTGGAGAGCTTTCAGACGAGTCCCCGGATGCATGGATCCACCTTCCGCGTATGGTTCAGTAAACGGTATTAGATTTGGCCTAGGTATCGTATTGGTAACTTCTGGTGACCTGTAAATATTGTAAAAGAAAATATAAACCTCCTTATCTTGTATTCATAATTAGCTTAAGTTTTCTCAACTCTTAAGAAGATTTGTGTCTTTAGTACGTAATATGATATTCGATATAATATAGTTTGTATACTTTTAGTCTTTACCAATTTCCGAGACTTTGTAAAACACGAACTCCGCCTTCAAATCCCATGCCGACGTCGTCTGGCACTGTGAAAGTTGAATCTGGACCTCCAGTACTGGAACTGACTTGAGGTACCTTGATGGGAGAGTTGATGGTAGCGTAGTGATGCTGTGTAGAACTGACGGTCGGTGGCGATGGGTGACCAGGATGTGTGTTACTCTGTGCCTGCTGAAAGATAATTTTATCTTCAAAATAACGGATATTTAAAAGAAATTAAATTCCCGTCCTTCAAAATAATATTTTAAAAATATGTATAGCTACTGACTTTAAAAATGTCATTTAAGTCAATACGTTTCTACAAGATAAACGAAAGCAACATAGTTATTTAATAAAAGTAAAAGTAGAATACTCACTTGCATCTCTTGGTGATGACGCGAGTTGTTATTAGAATTACTCGATTGTTGTTGTTGTTGCTGCTGCTGCTGCTGTTGCTGTTGTTGTTGCTGATGTTGTTGGTGTTGTTGCTGTTGCTGCTGTTGTTGTTGCTGCTGCTGCTGTTGTTGCTGCTGCTGCTGTTGCTGTTGTTGCTGCTGCTGTTGTTGCTGTTGCTGATGTTGCTGCTGCTGTTGTTGTTGTTCTCGTCTAGCCGCGGCTGCGGCCTGAGCCATATGTTGTTGTACCGCTACGTGTGCCTCTAAGTATGCCGTTTTTTGTGCTTCCGTCATTTTGTCCATATTAACAGTGCCGTCCTAATAGAAAAACGATTCATTATAATACAGATTAAATATATAATTTTGATCATGATCTACAACGACTCTGAGACTGAACATTTTTCATCTCTAAAGAAACCCCGAAAACTTCCTAATTGACTCGACATCCCTTTTATTAATAGGAAAGTATTTCTAAATTATTAACGACTAAAAAAAACTTGGAGTTTTAGCATAACATACTTGATAGTGCCATAACCCAAGTATTTATTATTACATTATGTTTCCCTCTGTATAGTTTTTCGTATATAACAAGTCTCGCCCGTAGATGACTGTCAGTCGCCTTCAATGAATGTCTTTGATGCGGTCGGAGGGCGAGCGAGGCACGCGCCCCCTAGTGCATTCACCCCGCAGAAAGTGAGAATACTCCCCAACGACTTTCATTCCGTAACAGAATGTACCTTCACATAATTGCCCAAATTCGGCGAGGGATGGGTTCAACGACCGGGGAAAAGGACGTTGACATGGGTTTTCGTTTGATATTATTATTGAACATAATATTTCATATTAATAGGAAGTAAAAAATATGCTGAATGATTTTTTTTAATAATAGCTTCATTTGCGAGTATAGATTTTATCACTGCTATTATTAAAGATATGAAAAATTGCTAGTCATCTGTTCTATAGATAATAACCCAGAAATGATAAAATACTATTTAAAAAACATCGATAACGTTATCGATAGATAGGTAACCGAAATTTCTAGGTGACCGTATTATAAAACATAAACAATCAATAGGAATGTGAATTAGAAAATTATAAACTAAGATATTATTATTATTAAATACTTTTTCAAATATTATCTTATCAGCATAAAAAATAGGTTCTCTATGTATCTGTAACTTTCCAAAACTTGTGAGAAATACTGCTTCTACCTATTATATACCCTAAATATATATCCCCAACTACTTTTTTTCATTATATCAACGATAAGAAGTTGCGTAATGAAATTGATTCGAAGAAAATAGAGGGTAGAATCTAGTAAAAAATGAAATGCTGCTGATACTGCCGTTGCTGCTTTATCTCTATTAATACCTTCACTATCAGCGACACAGCACTAATAGGAACACTTGAGTGATCTGAATTTGCGTCAGCTTGTTTAGGGAGGCCCCCTCGAAGATTACCGATAGAGGGTCGAATTCGTAGGGCCTTATCACGTCTGTACTGATTAAAAGCAAACATACCTAACGGGGGACTAGAGGACTAGGGTAAAACAAGTGCTCGATTTGAATATTAAAAATGTGCTCGTTATCTCATTTAATATAATAATATTCTGATATAATGATATGCTGACATTATTTTGTTGGAGGTTTTATTTTTGATACAATTTCAAAATTTATTTTAGTTTAACTGAAAAGAAACATTTTTTTTATTACATCTATACATGTAGATAAAATACAAAATAATTCGTTGTCTTTCTAGAATAATATACAATTTTAGTGATGCATTTCTATTAACAATAAAATAATTAATAGCGTCAATGAGGATCAATGATGTAACTGTTAATTAATTTAACTCAATCGTGTGGCTCGGCATTGTATTAAGCCGCGATCTCGCTTGTAGCACACGTAATGTGATTGCCTTTCAATCGTTTGTACATCTTCAAACAATAAACAAAAAAAGATATGACGATATATATATCACTAAAATGTTAATCAAATAAATGTTATCGCGGAAAAAGTGTAATTCTAGGAAAATATTTGAATGAACCAAAGCAAACATACTCACATCAAACCAACCACCGGAGAAAAGTTCCATAGCTACTGTAGCAACTTTAACCACAACAATTAATCGTAAAAGTCACACATTATTATCGACAGTTAGTATGAGATCAAAATAAATGTATCTTAAAGGATAGAACTTTCTAAATCTGAGCGTATTATAACAATGGTTTGTTTTGTAAACGCGAGAGTCAAGGTTAAAGTCATGGTGTAGGCGGGCTTCCTCGACCGTATCTATATACCAAGTGCAGGGGTTGCGCTCCTCAATCGATTACACTTTCCCTTCAGAATGCACCTGAAGGCTATAGGGACGGTATTTTGAATCGCTTCGTATTTCATTGCGTAGATCAAATCTCTAGAGAAACTTTGTTGTTGGCATCAAGTTTAGGGTAAAGCAGTTGTGATTATTAAATTGTATTTGTAATGCTTTAAATTTTGTTAAACGTTGACGTAATTTTATTTCCAAGAACAAACAACGCAAATGCATTACGGTATGAAAATTGAGTAAAGTCAAAGATGAGGGTAATATATTTTGATTACATATACAAAATAAATACCGCAAATTTGTGGTTGTATTGTATGTGAACAAGTTAATAAGGTTGGCTTCTGTGAATTCTCTTGAACATGACAATAAGCTCGTTTTAATCTGCTTTCAACACAAGCAATATCGTGCAATAAATTGTATGTATAATCGAGTTTTACATAACGGTCCGGATGGAGAGAAATCTGAATGAGCTATAAAAAGCCTATGTTGATCATCCATCACATTAGTGGGGAAGTCTGTAGCAGTGATGTGCAGGGGTAGTGCACTCCCCCAGGGGGAGGCGGGAGGCCGTAGTAGGAATATCCTTCACCCCGCTAGGTCAGGGTTAAAGGCACCCCCGGGCCGGGTGACTGCAGCCTTCGACCTTACTTCCAACGCGTACTGCATAACCCTGTATTTAGATCAAGGTTCTCTCCACCACCGCATTTATTGCTTCTATTATGTATGACGTATCACATCTCGTGAAAAATCTATACTGCCTATATAAACGTCATTAATAGTAAAAGAGAATTGATTTTCACATATAATTTGTATCAAAAGATTTGACAAAAAGGGTAAGTTTTCGGACATGCGTATCCAATATACGAATTCCCAAGTGGCCTATAACGTTACGTTTTTAATGACAACCTTATGACTATCTCATTAGAGTAGATAATTCACGATCTTGTAAGACAGACTGTGTATATTCGACAAAGATTCGTGACACGCCATTATTAGGTTGGAAATCGTTCGTCAGCGTTTAGTGGCTTCATCGCTATGTAATTTGGATGTTATATAGATGGGATAAGGTTGATATTTATTTGTATTGTTGATAGTGGGAGTTGGGTCGATAGTTGACGGCGATCGATCGAGGGGCGTCCGTGCATCGTCCGACAACGCGTCGCGAGCCAACACACACCAAGCAACATTCAGCCTTTGACGGTTAATGATATTGACTTGGATTTGATTCACAGAGCGCTTGATTAAAAAGTTCATTAGGACTGAACATAGCAATAATCTAATTACGAATAAAGATTGTTATTAGGTACTTATGAAACACAAATAACTTAAGGAATAAATAATTATTAAGTATCTCGTAATATTATTGACAAGAATTTGTAATTTTTGACACAATCATTGGTTTTTCGACAGAATTTATACTATCAGGATATTTATTTTATCGATCATTATAATATAAATAATGTAACGATCTCTCAGGAATTCATCTCACGGTAATAGGGAACCCAATATTGTTCGGCTTCCTTTGTGAAAACTCGCTGGAAAAAGGGATAATACCTTCAATTGAATAGGCCTGTATATTTTTTTATTTAAATATTATGCCTTTGTTATAGTCTTGAATTTCTTAAAATAGAAAACACGTTTGATGTACTATGAATATTATATTTATGAAAATTGAGAAGATCTGTTATAATGTATCCAAGTGTAAGAACGGTGAAGGGAAGGGCAATATTTTTTTCTCCTCTATCTATTGAAATTTCTATATTAGTAGCTAAATTTGTTGTTTTTGCAGCATTTTTATGCTAATAAAATGACGACTCAAACCTTACATCTAGTTTATGAAGTATTTAATAATGACTATGTATTACCATTCCGTATTACGACAAATTACAAACTTTTAATGCTTATGTTTCTGTTTTCGTTCGTCACATTAAGAGTTACATAAATAATCGTACCTTTTGCATAATAAAGAATAATAACTAAGACCATTAAACATCAAAATATAAGTTTATTGTTTATAATAAATACGAAATAAAGATATCATTCAACATCTTAGATCGTTACGAAATCAATCTTTTCTCTAAAAAATATATTTCGACAATTTTAAACTATAACACGTAATACAAAAGCTACAAGCTACTTTATTAACACCTAGCTAGGTTTCAAATCAAAGCATCGTATTTAAATCTTTTTCAATCCTTTTTTTATACCATTAAAATTTCTAATTTCCTTACAACGTCTCATTCTTTAGGATTCCAATTTCCTTAATCGACTCACCTGAAAGTTTATAGTAGAAGTGACAATCCTCATAGATTCAGCGTAGTTTCTCAACACGGAGTCGGTGTTCAGGCAGCTCTGTCTCCATTCATATAATTGTTCAAGTCTCGTGACACACCTCTCACAGATCTTCTTGGGCAGGAAGTCGTCTTTAGATATCTGCTGGATTTATAGCTTGATTTGAGCTTTGGCATTCTATAAACTAGCGTTTACTATATGTATAAAGTAAAGGATATAATGATGATGATTCAGCGGTTATGTTACTAGAAAAGTAGTTTAAAGTCATTAATTTTTAAATATTATTTTTATATTAAACGATTTCGTATGTATATGTACCTTATGAGTGTATACAGGAAATATATATGAAAATGAATTCATATACCAACACCTGTCACTAAAATTGTTCGTTCTCAAACTAAATTATAATATTTTTATGAGTTCTCCGAAACAAATTTCCCGTGGGCTCAATAAACAAAACAAGAGTGTAGGAAACTTTCATAAAAACTGTATGGGATTTGAATAAATAGTAGTTTAATAAATCGTTTAAAACATCGCATTAACGTTAGGGAGAAAAGGAAATTATAAGGAATATACTTTAGAAAATATTGATTTTTGTTCTATAATTTTACTGTTAATTGAGACTATAATAAGACATTTTTATTTTATTTTTATAGCAAAGTAAACAGTCTCCATTAGAATAAATAAAGATTGTTTGCAGCAAATGCAATAGTTCAAACGCATAGGGATAAAGAGCGTCTCGCTCTGAACCTAAATCTTTTCCCGGGGAAAAACAGACATTAAATTGCTTATATACTAACAATCCTTAGTATTATAGGAATAAGGTTTATTCTTCAATGCATACACGGTACAAGTTAATCTATTGACGGAATTCGCAAAAGGAAATCGCATTTGCCGTATCGAATGCGAATTGCTACAGTCATTCCTTAATCACTTGGAATATATTATGTATATTTTATATTTCTTTAACGTTTAGGATTTTATATTATTGTTATTTTTTTGAAACTAAGAAAAATCTAGTTATTTTCTTTATATATGAACTCAATACGTTTTAAATATATAATGCTTAAATCCGGGTAAAGCAATGCTGATAAAGAAATGAATCACCCCAGTTGTACAATTCTTCATGGATTTGCTTACATCAGTTGTGATATTAAGACAATATTAATATTTATTTTGTATGCAATATTGTAACCGTTTGTAGTGAATACTTGGTCGGGGGTCTTCTAAATGCTACCCTTCACCCCTGGTTCTGACGGAAACGCAAATTGTTTCGGATTCAAGATGTGTATTATTTATTGATTTCATATTATTTCTGTGTTGAGAGTTTTGATTTAGAGAATATTTTCACAATATTATTTTTCAGTAGAAAATAAGTTTTGGTATAAATGGTGTTTTTAGCTCGATGTATCATTTATTTTACAATAAATTATGTTTATGGGAACATGGATGAATGACACTTCAAATTAATTTATCCTAAAAGTATAAAATACGATAAAATATTTTAATTACAATTAGATTTATATGTATAATTTTTCAAAAAAAATAATAAGCATTTTAATTAATAGTACAGATTTTAATGAAAATCTAGTCATTGAGTTTTTTAATATAATTAATGTATTAAACTATTAAGAGACAGGTAATAATTATAATCAATCTTTGTATAGCACTAATAGGATTCTCAATAGATACTCGAAGATCAAATAAGAAAGGTAAGGACACTTAAACAGTTGTTGAACAGAAGATAACATGCTCTTCGATTCACGGGAATTGAGGCGAGCGAGGGAAGGGTTTGATATGTACTGTACCTATTTGAAAATATAATCAATATATACTTAGGATTGCTATATTATATACGTATTAAACGATAATAAAGTTAAATGTACAAAAAATAATCTATAAAAGCAGTAAATGTCAAATAGAAATATAATACTAATGTAGTTAAATCGATGTTATGAAAGTTTTAATTATTTGAGACTTGGTAATTGTTTTTAAAATTATGTTATAATATTACTAGATATATTTTTATTTGTATACTGATTAATTGACTGTTAATGTAAATATACTTTAATATTTTTTAAATATTAATTTAATATTTATATCTGCAAATATTAATGTTCATTATTATTCAACAGGTATTGTGTTAGATGCAGGTTTAACCTTTCTCTAATCCATGTTATTCGTAGCTCGTACAGCGCCTGCGCCTACGAGCGCTACGGCAGTTTACAGGTCTCTGCATTTCCCTCCTCGGAATCATGTTTACAATGATATATTACGTGGAAAAAACGAATAAATCTATTTAATTTTATGTAAAATCAGTGTAAAAACTCACCATAGTCGGTAAACAGGTCCTCATTTTGAAGAGGATCTGCCTCTGCTCGGACTCCTTGTCGAATATGTGCAGCCTGGGTCCGCTCTTGAGGGAGCACAGTCGACACAGGTCCGTGAAGGCCGTGAAGTTGAGGTCCTCGGGCTCGGTCATGGCGAAGCACCTGATGAGGAGGTCGAGGAGGCAGGAGTTGTCCATGTATACGGCGGTGGTTGTCGGGTGGCGGGAGACTCAACGCATGTCGCGGGCTCTCGGGGAGGCGTCGCGCCGCCGCTGCGTTCGGGGGGCACTGGGCCGGGCAGGAGCTCGGGCCCCCTGCGACCCCTCGACCCCCTCCAACCCCTCAACCCCCTCCGACCCCCTCCGACCCCGCGGGGTGGCTCGGACGCGCCGGAAAATGCGTGCCAGTTTTCCAGTCCGCGATTGCCGATTGTCCGTATTGATTATGACGTCTTAATTTATATGGATGTTGTAATGAAAAGGAAGGAGAATGATGTGTTTCCGATGTGAGTATGCGCTACGCAAATGCTTTGTTCCGAACGGTTTCATCGATTTTGTAACGCGACCGTTCATTAGCCTTGAATAGCTTTTCGGAAAGAAAAGATTGTTTTGTTGTAACGTACTTTGATGTTCGACGGACACGCGTTTATGATAATATAGATTATAACAACGAATGATTTCAATATAATTATTTAATTTTTATACAGTAAATACTATTTTCTTAGGACAGCAAATATTTTATAATCTATACATTTGGAATGGTTATGAATTTTATTGACATAATCAATGAAGCTTATTGAACATTCGTAATTATCGATATAAAATCAAACAGATATTTATTTAATTATAAATCGCGTATAATACAGAGATGTCTGTAGCTTCATCTGATTCTGGTGCGGAGTATCACACCTTCTCAGAACGAACCCTGGCCATCATCAAGCCAGAAGCCTTTGATGATGCTGATGCCATCGAAGATCATATAGTTGACAATGGGTTCATGATTCTTGCTGTTAGTATAACAATTATTATAATAGTTATTGTATTCTAACAAAAAATAAAAGTATCTACTAGTGAAGTAGTAGTAGTAAGTAGTATTAAGAAAAATTAAGTGTATTTACCTTTAATACCTCTATAATAATCAAGTGGAAAATTGTTTATTAATACAAATTACTTATTGCTTGACTTAAATGTCGAAATGTTGATTTTTTCAGTAAGTTTTTGTATTATCAAGTTACCATCAAGGACATATAATATATTGTAATGATACCAATATGATTGATTCATATTTCGCCTACACAATAAAGAGAGCATAAAATTGATAGCTTCAGTCCGAAAACGACTTTTCATACTAACGTTAAGCCATAAAAAACAAATGACTCTGTCAGGACATGAATAATAAATGTTAAAACTTCCAATATTCGTATTCCATTTCCTTCATACGAAATGTTGGCAAATATAAAACATTTAATAAATAAAATGTCTAGACAAAAGATATCGTCTCACATTTAGTGTCAGACATGAGACATGTTCTCGTAAATGTGTAACTGTAATGACAAAATTGTGTATTGAATCGCATTAAAATTGTCTTTGTCAAAAGTAAATGTTATTTTTTAATGATTCAGATACCTATTGATTTTGGTTAGTTTTTGTTTTCATTATATATTTAGAAGCTTATTAAAAGCCTATTCTTATATAATAAGTATATTCATATATAAGTATAAATTATATGAAAAAGTGACTTATAATTTTAATAGTCGAATATTTTAAAGTTATGGAACTGAATCCCGAGATCGATATAATATACATAAAATGTTGAAACAAAGAGGAATCTTTTTTAGGGTGGGGTCGCTAGTGGCCGGCGGCGTGTGCGGGGGACTCGTATGCAAAATACATCCACATTAGTTAAGGGGGGCTTTCATTATTCCACGTCACAGACACTGTTCTCAGGGTTGGCACTTGAAATGTTAAACTTTGTCCCAAATATTATTATAGCTGCGGGAACATAAAGCTTTAACTTTGACATGTTTTGATTAATATAGATTTCATATAAGTTATTTATTTGATCGCCTTTTAAAATAAAAATAATATTCGTCATATTCTTAAAATATTTATGTTTGTAGATATTAAATATACTCGTAGCTATGTAATATATAGAGTAATTATTTCAAATGATAAACCTCTCGTGTTAATAGGTTTTGTTTTATCTCTTGATTCTTCTGTATGTTCAACCCTGTGATCTTCCCCAGCTTCGGCGCGGTCAGTACTGTTATCTATGGAAACCATAGAAAAAAACTAATTACATATCCCCATTGACGTTCGGAAGGGCTCTGCGACAAGTTCGCGTGATATGAAATTTGATTTTTCAATTTATATTCTAATTAAAATGTATAAGCAATTGTGCAGTTATCGATCTATTGACGCAAACTTTGAAAGAGTACTATTCTGTTATGTCGGAATTGAAAACATCTTGTTTTTATCAAATTTGTATTGTAGTTAACATTTTAGTTACATTTATTTGAAGTCCATTATTTTTCCAACACTTTTTCCCCACATACAATTATATAATACTAGAATTCGTTCACGGCTTTACTCGCGATTAATTATTTTTTTTAAACTATATCTTCTCTACGACTGTTTTGATATTATTATCATGGCAAATAAAACCGGTAATCAACATGATTCACTGACAAACATACAACCAAATAAACTTCCATATTTATATTATATATAATGTATAATAATATTAAAAGGGTCGCGTCTATTTCGGGCTTGAGATAGTTTATCTATTCATTAATATTAAACTTTATGATATAATTTCACGAACCGCCATGAGTAACACGATTATGACTCAAGGTAACTAATGTACGTAATGGTCTTAAAGCTTTATTTGGATATATTTTTTTACAAATAATACGATGATATAATGATAGGTCATTTCCAGTAGGCCACCTACTATGCATTGAATTCATTTTCATTTCATTCAATTTATACTACATAAAAAGTCATAATAATACTATGTATTTTGTTTCGCTTTTTTTTGTTTTTTGTTTTTATGGGATGGCTTCATTCGCACTGGAACCGTGGAATATTTTGCCAATTTCAACTATCAACTGTCATTTAAATTTGTCAAAAATAAATAAAATGAATTTAGTTTTTTTATTCTGTTCATTTGATAGAGTTGTTCTTTCTTTATGTGAAATTAAGTGTTGTTTAAACATTTTTAGGGGCTTTTAAATAAATACCAACGAAATTAATGTTTCTTATGAACCTTAAATAGTAATGTAATATTACATTTTGTAAATAAAAACTGCTGTATAACATTTGACAACTTTTTTTAGTAAACCGCTGACTTCAAGAATACCATAACACATTTTGAGACTTGTAGGAATTATTGGTATTTTGGAAAAAAGGAACACGTTAAGCTCTCCAAGAGCGTATACTCTTTTTTGGATAAAATATAATAAGATGTACCCTTATTACGATATTGTATTTTAATATTTATTAGAATTATTACTTACTTAAAAAAATACCCAAATAGTATGACACATTTAGGTGCTGCCATTAAAAGGCCATTATTCAAGTTTTTATATATGGCTACAGAATCCAGCTTATTAATATAATCTCCTTTCACACGTTTACGCATGTAAAAATTAGCCTCAATTAGATACAAAATAAATATTTCAAACAAGACCGCCGCCCATACAAAAACAAAATATAGTATATGCGTATACCTATGTACATACATATACCTATAGGTTTTTATTTAATCCTCCTATCGGAATGCAGGTGACTGGTAAGTGATTAGATCTCACTGGCGGGGTCACTTTATTATTTAAAACTCAGTGCAGTTCGTTAGTGATCGGACGGAGCATTATAAATGTACTGAGGGCTTAAAACGTAGTAAATACTTAAACAGATTGAAGGGCGTCTCCAAAAACGGGAATTGGTGAATACAAAACAAAGTAGGTCCAATTATTCTAATTACTACTTCACTACATACGATAAATGACTACTCGACTACCCTTAAACTGAGAAGAAAATAACAATAATCAGTGTAAAATGTATTTAGTCACGATTGTTAGACACCCTCACTTACTCCGCATAGAAAAGGAATGAAAAATTAAATGTTGAATGATCTTATTTAGTGATTTATAAAATATTTGAAATTTGAGAGTAATTCGAAAATATAAAGAAATTTAGTTGAACAATATAATAATTAGACCAACTCTAAATTAAAACTCGAGCTCTATATTTTAACGGGTTTATTTTTTTTCCACTATATACCTAAAGGTGTTTTAAAATCGAAATACATTTCAATGGAACAGTTAGCAGTTTATTTATTATAACAACCGAGGATAAAATCCATTTAGTATTATGTTCTTTCATATATTAAAACTTTGTTCCTAGCGCCGCAAAGTCAAACTGACACCAGAGCAAGCCGCGGAGTTGTATCGCGGCCACTATGGAAGACATCACTTCCCACACTTGGTCGCGCATATGTCTAGTGGACCTATTATAGCTCTCGTATTAGCGGCACAGAATTGCATTCACAAGTGGAAGGTGTTAATGGGACCTGCTAGGTAAGATTTTGTGTGTAATTTTTGTCATGTACTTAAACCTTACATTCCTCTTAGTTTAACTTTGAAAATGATATAGAAGCTTCACATTTATTTATTTTTTGGGGATTTGAATTTTTTTGATTAGTTTCGCATGAAGTAACATTAATATTTCAAGCATCTACTTAGCAGGTATTTAGCCCACATTGTGTAAAGTGTTTTATTTACCTTCTAATTAACGCCAGTATTGAAATCAAAACACACCTAATCAAGTTAATTACATACACACATATATATGTGATTAAAAGCTTAGATACTATGTTTTTCCGTTCATTGCACCCTTGGAGAAAATATGTCAAGTTCTTTATACAGATTATTGTGTATAAGTCATATCTATATGCATGTTATTGTTGTATTAGTAGATATGAATCTCATTTATCCACTATTTCTTCTTGCCATAATGCAATGGCTAGTTTTCAATTTGGTTGGTTTCCAAACAACCAAGTCCGAAGACTACGGAGACTTACTTTAATATTATCTTTGTTAATAAATAAAACTGAAGTGTCTTTAGGTTATTCCAAGTAGGTAAAGGGCAATCCACTTAATATTAGTAGGTATATAGGGAACTGTTTAACTATTTTGAAACGGAATTTTCCTCGCAAGAAAGCAGTTTCATATAAACATTATACATTTTAATCATCATCAGCAAGGAGTAAATTTTCAATTCCACTATAATAATAGGTTTTTAATGATGTTGCTCATAGCAAGGCATTATTATCTTAAGGTAGTTCGAAAATTGAGGTAGAAACGAAATGAAAACTCATAAGAATGGCTCGTATCTCAATATTTAAAATTATTTGTTTAGAGTGGTCGAAGCGCAGGCCTATTGGCCGGACAGTCTGCGAGCTTGTTACGGACGTCGAACTAAATACGGGGACTACTTCAATGCGTTACACGGAAGCGAAAACTACGGGGAGGCGTTACGGGAAATACATTTCTTCTTTCCAGAAAGTGAGATTTATAAATAACTTAAATGTTCTGTTGTCAACCATTTCATTATTACGTCTCCGTTCTGTTTTAAACACAATAGATGTTGATTTCGATTGCTTTTCAGAATTGTTATAACATGCTATAATTAATATGACGTAGGATTACGATTTACAGACATTCCCTGTGTACAGATAATATGAAATCTTTCTGTACAAAAATAACTCAAACTCAAATAACTTTATTCAATATATTATGTATGTAGAAGCATTACACTTTCTTATTAATGGGCACTTGAGACACTACCACCGGAAAAGAAAATACCCTGACCTGAGAATAACCGGCGAAAGAAACTCAGCGGGTTTTTTTTATATATTTGTCTCATATATCTCAACATAATACATATAAGCATAAAATAAAAACCATTTTTTTGTATATAATTTATTTAAGACCTCATACTTATTATTCCCAGTGATCGTGGGTCCCTTACTCCGTCAGTGGCAAGTAGGTGACTACATCCTCAAATACATATCGCCAACACTAGCTCCGGCCCTGTCTACGCTTGCCCACGACCGTCCCGCGGAGCCAGTACTATGGCTGGCTGACTACTTGCGGAGACACAACCCTAACCAACCGGAACTGGCGCCACAACCCACGGATATGAGAGAAGAAAGGAAGTGTCAGACACCCACACCCTCTGAAGTCACTCCTGTTAAATGATCATCATTCATCATGATAGTCATGAAATAAATGATTGAAGTAATACGCAGTGTTGTATCTAGCATTTTATGCACCCGGTGCGAGCTTTCGAAACTGCGCCCCTAAAAAATGCTCTAACCAGGCTCTAAAAATAAAATGGACAAATGTGCATACAAATAAATCTATCTATTTGTTGTTTACCAAAGTAACAAAATATATAAGTATATAGCCATGCATGAGATAAAACTAGATACTAGTCTGGTCATTTCTGCGCCCTGTGCCTGGGCACTGCTGACACCGCCCTAGTTACGGCACTGGTAATACGTATACTTAATCCCTACTAATATTATAAATGCTAAAGTAATTCTGTCTGTCTGTCTGTTACGCTTTCACGCCTAAATCACTAAACTGGTTTTAATCAAATTTGGTAGAGATGGAGTTGACCGTAAGAAAGAACATAGGATAGTTTTTATTCGAGACTTTTGAAAGGTTTTCTTGGAAACGCGATATAACCGAACTCCACGCGGGCGAAGCTGGGGGCGGAGAGCTAGTATATATATATGTATATGTAATTTTATTTCCAATCATATTAATGTCGAACGTGACTGTTGACGATAGTGAAGTATTTATTAAAATAAATATAGATTTTTTTTTGTACTGTGTATTTTTCTTCACTTCACGCCTCATTGCTTGCAAGGAAAGTATAAGTAGAATATTTCAATTATTTCGATTTCAGATGCAAAACAACTGTAAATACTTAGTTAAGATTTTTCTTAAAACCATAATTGAACAAAAAAATAAGTAATTACATTTTCTTATACAAAACTCAAAAATATCTCTAGAATATTATATGTTACAACTTTAAGATAGATCAAATATATTCATTTTATTAACATACAAAAAATATAAAGGTTAAAAATTGTTATCCCTACTAATATTATAAATGCGAAATTAACTCTGTCCGTCCATCTGTCTGTTACGCTTTCACGCCTAAACCATTGAACTGATTTTAATGAAATTTGGTACAGATATAGAGTTGACCTTGAGAAAGAACATAGGATAGTTTTTATCCCAGACTTTTGAAAGGTTCTCTTGGAAACGCGATATAAACGAAATCCACGCGAGCGAAGCTGCAGGCGGAAAGCTAGAATATATATATATGTGTGTATATATGTAATTTTATTCTCAATCATATTAAGTTCGAACGTAGCTGATGATGACAGTGAAGTATTTATTATAATAAACATTGATTTTTTGGTTATGTGTATTTTTCTTCACTTCACGCCCCATTGTTTGCAAGGAAAATATAAGTAGAATATTTCAATTATTTTCCGATTTCAGATGCAAAACAACTGTAAATACTTAGTTAAGATTTTTCTTAAAACCAAAATTGAACAAGAAATAAGTAATTATATTTTTATAGAAAACTCAAAAATATCTTTAGAATATTATTTGTTACAACTTAAAGATAGAAGACAAATATATTCATTTCATTCACATACAAAAAACATAAAGGTTAACAAGTGTTATTTAATATAAAATAAAACACAATTAATTTTCCCCAATTTTATAATGCACTCACAAAAGGCTTTTCTATCACAGGCTAACATATATCAATGGTATAAGTTATTACGTATTACATATAATTATGCATGTGAGAGATTTACATAGTACTTGAGAGAAACACAAAGACAAAAAACTAAACAAAAAAGGGAACTTAGAATTATAATCTAACTTAAAATAAAACCGAAACTTAAATTTAACAGATCGGTTAAGTATTACATTTTATATGAGAAATGATTACATGCTAATAAGAAATATCTTCAGTATCTGAAAAGAAACAAAAAGTAAAATTAATTTAATTAAAATAGATAAGTTTATTTAAGTATCTTCTTCTAATTTGACTATTAAAAATAATAACATTTTATAACAATATATGTATTGTAAATGCAGGTTATAAAATCTCTTATCCACCATTTTTATTTCCCCCCACAAAGAAACTCTACTCAATTATATTTAACTTCGATGATAGATCATTAATAATGTCTTCTTCTATCTGCCAATTTCCCAGCTAAAGCCAGGGTCTGCCTTACATGTTGTGAATAGTTTTGGCTATTTGTTTTTACGACCGGCCGCCTGAGTGACATCAACCCTCTTTTGGGAATCAGCATTAATCAGTGATGTCTAAATACTCTTATAAAGTACATATGACTCGGGAAAATCATTGGTACTTGCCGGGCCAGGATCGAACCCGCGCCCTCGGCAACTAGAGGCCCTTTAACCACTAGGCCACCACTGACTGGAAATCATTAATAACCATTCTTACATGATTTCTATATAGCTGGTGTCATCTGTAGCCTTGCCGGTCGTTCCCCGCAGAAGCCAATCATGCCACAGATGAATCTTGATTCAGAAGCCTTAATAAGCTTGATAATGCTTTCGCCATAAACCTCCATCATGTTGCGACACTGGAAACATATATTAGGACTTGTTAGGATCAATATAAATATAATGGTTGTTCTTACATATATAATAAGTATAGTCCAGTAGGACATATTTTAATGATACTTTCCAATAATGTAATGAGGCATTGCTATGACTAGGTTAATGTATGTGTTTATTTAATGTATTATTATTATTTAATGTGAAGTGAAGAAGAATTTGTATAGTTCTTTCAAAATATTCATAAATTAATATTTTTTTTCCATAATATTTCCATCTGGCCGATTACGAGTTTTGCTTATTTTATTTTTAATCTAGAATAGCACTCGCACTTATGTTGTGTATCTATTTAAAATATAATAATATTTAATCCTAAATGTTTTTTGTCTAACTGTACTTTTACTACTTTCAAGTTTCACTCACAAAATTGCCAATTTGCAAATCTCAGCTTAGGTCTAACAGTCTACACATTACATGTGTAGGTAGTACAAAGTCACGTGACACTTTTTATATCCTACTAATATTATAATTGCGAAAGTTTGTCAGTATGTGTATGTTTGTTACTTCTTTACACTCAAACGGCTGAACCGATTTTGATAAAATTTTGTATACAGGAAGCTGACGTCCAGGAATAAGATATAGGCTACTTTACATCCCGGGAATCCGCGGGGCGCAGCTAGTATATATATTACAGCCTCACCCTTTTCGCATACTTGGCGGGCAGTTCATTGCAGGCCAGCTCAGTAACATGTATGATGTCGTCGTCTATCTTCTTGTTAGTGGCGAGTTTCTTCAACACCTGGACTAATGATTCGCACACGGCGCAGTTCAAGACTTCACCTGGATTTAAAAATAAATATTACTATGACAGTAATGATTTGAAATTGGAATACAAAATATATAAGGAGTAAGTAAATTATATACGAACAGGATTTCTAACTGGAGGATTTTAAATACTTTATCAAATTAGTATGGAAGCTAATTGCTAATGCGTCATATAACAATACTTCATTATTAAACGTATTTTACACATATTCATTTAGGCTACTACTAACATTAATCTTTTAATAAATTAATCCTTGTAATATTATGTATGAAATCTAATACTAAGCTATATGAAATAAAATTAAAATAACCATTGCTAATAAAAACCATTTTTTGATTATTTAAAATGAGTGAATGATTTTATTATTTTTCTGTATATGTTATGAATATCAAATTCGTTTTTATTTCAATACTAATACATATATACATTGTTATACGTGACATTATCTGCTAATTTTAGACAAAAAATATGCATTTCGTAGTATATAGTAGTTTTTAGTGTATAGTAATTCATAGTATAAATGAAACTCATATACTCGGATATACTACGCGACTACGTAAAGTAGTCGAAACGTTGGGAGTATGTAGTTTTTTATCAAAAATAAAGTAGCGTAGTATATCCGAAAAATAATGTAATCAGCCTATTAGAGCCCACTGCTGAACAAAGGCATCTTCTCATGTGGAGAAGGTTTTGAGCATTAATCACCACGCTTGCTCAAGACGGGTTGGCGATTTCAAACTTATAATTGTGAAACTATAAGTCCAGGTTTCCTCACAATATTTCCTCGAGAAATATTAGTTTCATTTAACTGACTCTCGAAAACCTTAGGTCTAATTATAATTCATAGTATATATATTTATTTGTGTATACTTTTAAAGTGTTGTACGCCATTAGGTTTGCACAGTTTCAGTTCCTGGCACACTTCATCAGGGTCCAACTCCTGCGCCAACAGACTGATCACGAGGTCCGCGTACTTCTCAACAAACTGATCACACTCGCTCCTCACTGACTTGGGCATACGTTTACATACGCCGTGGACAACCTTCTTTATTTCATCCTGTAATCAGATAGATTTTCATTAAAGTCGAAATAAGTATTAATAAATACCTGATAATATGCAATGTTTGTATTAGATATACATTATATCAGTGAGATGTGAACGATTTAAATGTTTAATTAAGAATAAATTAATAGTATTTTCACATGTAAATTTGGTGCAAGAAATTAAGTTGTTGATATCATGAACAGTAATTGACAAAAGTGAGTAGTTTGTTCTTGTGTGTGTGTGTGCGTGTGTGTGTGTGCGTGTGTGTGTGTACGCGTGTGTGTACGTACGTCGTTGTGTTTGTCCTTGATCTGGTCGTCGATCTCCTTCAACACGAACTCACACATGATACAGACGGGGTTTTGGTTGTGTATAGGACGGCCGTTCACTGTGTGGTCCGGGATTTCGTTCGTCTCTGAAAATTATAATACAAGTATATATAATTATGTTCACTAATCATTTCTTGTGAGTTTTGCCCTCTTTTAATTTGATTCCTAAACTTTATCACGTTATGATAGATGTTAATTGTAAAGACGCCTATACATGACCTAAATTGTTTTCGTTGAAAAATAATATTATTCGATTCACTATCAACAAAAAACTAGATATCTTCCCCGAAGCAATCACTTTTTTTAAAATTTAAATATAATACATTTTATTATTTCTCGCAATATGGAAGTTAACGTCCATATTGATTTATGTCTAGTCCAGTCTTAGTAAAACTACTTTGCATTATGTAAATAGTCCATTTTATTAATAGTATTATTATTACCAATATCTCCAACGCCTGGTTCTAACATATTTCTAGGCAACATGGGTCGTTTCCTTCTATTCCAATCACCTCTAAGATGAGGTTTCTCATGATATTTATCTATACCCGTGATCTTGAGAGGGTCCGCGTGTGAATGTTCGTCTTTACACATGTTAAGGAAAACACATATTTCTTGAGCCGTGAGATCAGCTATTAACATCTCTATTAATTGATCGGTGTGAGTCTCCACGAAGTCTACGCAAGCCGGTCTTAGCTTTCCTGACAGACTGTTGCAGAGACTTTCAAGTGCTTTACGAATGCTGGCCTGGAATTAAAATGTTTATATACAGAATCATTCAATATTAAAGTGATAGACATGACTTATAAGTAAAATATGCTAATATGATTTTATAAAATATACAAGTGTTATTAAATGATCCGGATGGATCTACAAGTATAATTTCTGTCATAAATTATTCTATTGAATAAGCTTAATTAATGTAGTTTCAAGAATATCCGTTTAGTAATTTTTCGTGATAGTGACATTTATTGTAGCATCACGTTTAAAATAAGTGTTCGAATATTATTTTAAGTGCGAGATTTTTGTCTCTTTTCAAATTCTTATAATCCAAAATTATTTTTATTCATAGAATTTATATTAAACAAATAGTATTTATAAATGCTATTTGGCATAATAGAAAACAAATATTACGTCATATACACATGACTAAATCAAGCTACGACGTATAGACCTATAAATGATGAATTTTTATTGTTGTTTTGCCATATATTATGTAATAATAACAGAAATTCTCTTATTTCATCATTATCTTTTAATAAGCATATAAATACCTCTGTTTTATTATCTTTCAAAACTGTTTCCACTTGTTGAACCGCAAACAGACATAAAGCACAGTTAGGAGTGTCGGATTCTTTGACCTTCAACTTGGGGCAGAGGCCTAGGCTCGGACAAACCTGAAATATATAACTTGTATTATAGTTGAAAGATATGCCTTTATAATCTTTAGGATTATCTCTTAAATAGAAATATTATTAAGTATTTTATTTATTTTTTTAGAAACTTAATTCTTAACTGGACTTTACTTCATCATTATTCATTTATAAAAAAAATATATAATATATTAACATTCATTCATTATTTTAGTACAGCACCATATGTTTGTAATCTGAACACTCTGTATAAACCATAAGTGAAACTAAGATCAGTACAAATAACATTTCATATTTATAAATGAAAAATATAATATCAATTGATAATATTTTTAACAGTCTATGATAATTTTAATAAAACTTATGAGATTTCTAATGTGTACATCCTGTATAAGTAATACCTCAGCGGGATCAATCTGTTGTACCAACAGCGCTATAACAGCTTCTCCATACTGTGACACAAACTGCCTACAAGTAGAGTCTATGGCGTTCGGCAAAACATCGCATGCGTTTTCAACCACTTTCTTTATTGCCTCCTAGAAAAAGCACGAATAGAAATCAGTAATACATATAGTGGTTCTTAGTATATATATGGAGTAAGCATTTCATCTACCTAGGATTTGAAATTGCGACCTCTTTAATATTTGTTATATTATATAGGTACTAGTTGTTGTTGTTGTTTGCGATACCAACGTTGTTTTGCCAAATAAATTTTGGTTGGTGATACAAAAGTAACAATTTAGGGTTCCATTGATTTTCTAATTCCACATTATAAAAAATAAAAACAAAAATCTGCTTCAAAAAAAAAGGGGTGAACAACCCTTATCAATTAAGGGTATTGAAAATAGTTATTAGGCGATTTTCAGACCTACTGAATACACATATAAAATTTGGTAAAAATCGGTAAAATCGTTTCGTAGTATTACGGCCTAGGATTTTGACATGACATTTGGAAATTTTATATATAAGTATTGTTTAACATTTATCTAACCTCAGTGTTTTCGTCGCTGAGCTCAACTTGTATGTAATGTAGGAAGTATTGACAGAATGTACATATCTGTGAATTCTCGGCCTGTGGCACAGACACAAACATTCTCTCGATAGGAAGCTGGGCTTTATCCGCATCTAAGATTTTAACATTCTCTTGTTTTGGCTGAAACATAAATAATATTATAAGATTTTTTTTAAGTTGGTTCTTTTAAATCTGTTTTATTGATTTATAATCTATTTTTACAATAAAATATAATCCCAAGATGTTTTTTTGGAGAAATTTATATTATATACCCATAATTTAAGCAAAAAAACTCATATAATGAGATCTAAGATTTTCGCTAGTATTCATTTAAATGAAACTAATATTTTCGGATATACTCCGCGATTTTTATTTTTGATTATAAACTACATACTCCCGACGTTTCGGCTACTTTACAGAAACCGTGATCACGGACAGACAAAATTTGAGTGTTTCAAGACACGTACATCCGAAAAATATTAGTTTCATTGAAATAAAATTTCATAGCTGTATATTTCTCGCATGCCTAGTATGAGCAAAATTTGTGTGTGCATGCAAATTCATGTGAACTAATAATAAAGTATAATAAATATATAGTATTTACCTTATGTGTATAGCTATTAGCTTCATCAGATCCAATAAGTGACTGTGATATTCCAATTGTCTTAACCTCTAACTCAGAAGGTAGTAGCGGTGCGATGGTTATGTCCGTCTTTTTGTTACATACGCCGATGAGACCACAGATTATTTGAGGTTGCATTTCGGCTGTGAGGAACGTGTACATTATTTCATAATATTGATCCACCAGTTGAAGACATTCGTTCTTGAAGCTTCCGGAGTGCTTGCAGAGACCTGGAACATGAATAATAAGCACTTCATACACGGCCTATAGGCAGACCCTGGCTATAGCTGGGAAATTGCCAGATAGTAGAAGAAGACATGGCCTGCGATTGTGGTGGGGGTGATTTAGTTCTTTTTTATATCAAACATGACAAACGAGCAGACGGGCTTTTTGATGGAAGGTGGAAACCGTCCATGAATATCTGTAATATAAGTTATGTTGCGAATGCATTGTCGACTTTGATTGTGAAAGAGTGAGAGGTAAGGGAGGGAAAGGGCAACCGTCTCTCTCACTCATCGGACGAATCGCGGCCATTAAAGACTAGTACTACTTCTGTGAGAAGATTGTACTTCCCCAGTCGAGCTATCCCACGTTCGAGCTGTAGTTACTCTAGGTTCTACCACACCTCCATTTTATTTTAATTTTACAAGACACAAGTTTATGACGTCACCAGTAACAAATCATCATTTACTGTATTCCTAATTCCAGAACCTTTAAACTACACTAAGTATATGAAAACACTTTTCAGTATCTAAATCTCCAGTGATGATCATTTTAATTGGCCTCTATGAACTTTAGTGCGAACAAAGCGAGGGGAGAATTTATCTCAAGGCAAATATTACTATTGCTGTATAAAACGCAAATCCAAGCCAATATGAAGTACAATACTAGTATATGTTTTTTTTTCAAGAGAGTAGTGACGATAATGTTGCAGGTTACCCACAGTCGTGATATAAAAACAGTAAAATGTAGAAATAAATTCTTTGATATAAAATTTTACACATATTAGTTAAATTCTATTGTCTACATACAGGCATTAAATTTCTAGTTGCCACCAGTAAATTATAATACATAGTTTTTACATAATGTTAATAATTTGATAATAATTTATATATAACATTAGTCGTACCAACAAGTATTTTCTTGAACTCAATCTCAGTTGTGTTAGCGACCAAAGTGTCACGAAGGTGTTTCACAACTTGCTCGCAGAACTCGCACGGGATGTCGCTGAAATGAAAATATATATATCGTTAGAAAAAAAAATATATAAAAAATATCTAGCGGTAATAAATATAGAGGAAAGACTTTTTTAAGAAATTGAGGAATTATTATAACTGTTTCATTAATTATCATTTTTTATTTTCACTTCTGGCCATAAAATATCGTAATATATATTTTTTTAATAACTATAATACATTTGTTTAAGATACTTTACAAGCCAGGGTCTGCCTTACATGTTGTGAATAGTTTTGGCTATTTGTTTTTATGATCGGCCGTCTGCCTGACATCAACCCTCTTTTGGGAATGCTTTAATCAGTGATGTCTAAATAGTCTTAGAAAGTACATATGACTCGGAAAAATCACATTGGTTCACTTGCCCGGGCCAGAATCGAACCCGCGTCCTCGTGCATGAGAGGCGAGCCTTATAAGGCTAGGCCTAGTAGGCCAAGACTGACTCATAAAGATTAAGATACTTTACTATCTCAAAAATACTTTTAACAAACTGTTTATGTTGACTTACAAACTGTCTAACTTACCTTATATACTTGTATAAAATTCAAATATATATTTAGTGAAAGAAATATGATAAATGAGAATATGTACATAGAATTATCTACACAAGAAAAAATCATTATTTGATATTATTAACTATATATATATTGTATACTCACTCGGATGCTTTAAGATTTTGTTCATCATCGGGGAAAGTGTACAGATCGTGTGAGTGATATATATGAGCACATTGTCCACTGAGGTGACATACATCCTCAGCTGTGAAATCTTTCTTCAAAGCTTCTATAATATTCTCGTAATATTTAAACACCAGCATAGAACAGGAATCTGATAGCGAACCCACCTCTTGACAAACCTGTGAAATAAAAATAGTATAAATATAAAATGTCTGAATATTATATAGATATTGTTTGACACTTCTCTAATAAATTCCCTTATTAAAAGTTGTTTATATTATTTTGACTCATGAAGGAAATTGGGAAAGATTGTAAGAAGGCATGTTGTTGAACAAAATTAGCCTTAATTTTCATTAGAGTATACCCAGCATACAATAGTTAATTTCATCATTGCATTATAGATTTATTACTAGTTATTGTCCATTTCACTTAAGTTATAGTAATAAATAGTATTGCATAAGTTATTTTATATTTCTATGCTTGAGGTCCTGTTTAATGTTTTATATGTTTGTATCCCAACCTTATTTATTTATATAGTAATACCATTATTTTTTTTGGGTATGTTAACATCATCGTGATCCTATCTAAAAACTATTAATTAAATATTATTGAATTCAATTTACTTATAGTTTAGTGCATACAACAATGTTCTTTGTATATTTTGAGTAAATATACTATTCTTATGTAACCTGTCATACTGTTAATTCTGGTAGCTACAATTTTTCTATAACTACAATTCTTTACATAGAACTTTATGGTAATATACTTAATACTGTTTATATATTAAAAAATATCTAAGTCTAACCTTCAGTAATCCCATAAGGAAGTCTTCATAGCTGGTAGCGTCGAATCTTTTCCTCGCTATACCAACACTACGTCTACAGTTGGTGCAACCTTCTCTCAACTTCAGGGCAGATGACTGAAAACACGTATTAAATAAATATCAAGAAAAAACGTACTATATGTTAAATGATGTTGAACATAATGAATATGGAATTAATAAATTTTTCTATATCTAACAATAGTACATATTATTCAGCGTTGCAAATGAAAATCAATATTGTATAAAGAGTTTATGCAGTAACAGATCATATTCACAAAAAAAAATTTCAAAGTGTTACAAAAACAAAAAAAATAAATAATATAATTTTATTTCTAATATAAATATTTATTTCATCTATATCACTGTCAGTAAACTACCTTTTTAGTCGTCATTAAAAAAATAAACTTATTATTATTATTATTATTAAAATCAAAACTTACATAGTCTTCTAACATATGATCTATCCTCTCACTATTACAGAGGCCGGCTACAGAGCACACAGCATCTGGATTCATCTGAGATGAGAGTGTCTCAACCAACTCGGGAACAAAGTCATCAGCGAGTACCTTACATTCTTTCCTTACTATCTTTATAGGAATCAGATTGCATTCACCTTCAAAAACTGCTTTCAAATCCTCCTGAAATTTATTTATTATATTGTTAATTATGACAAACATGTTGAATATAAAAATCACTTATAGTATAAAGATTTTTATTCATTTTAACACTAAAGCTGAAAAAGCAATGAAAAAAATCATACAATAAATCCACCTGTAAAAATATTATTTTACTTCTAATATAGTAATTAAATACATATTTAATATTTATTTCTTGAAATAATTAAGCTAAGACATTCAGTTGAAATTACATTTTAATTACTCTGATGAAATTGGGCACTACTCGTATTAAAGAAATTTTGTTTTGAATATGAGAAAGTGTTAATTATAAAGCTTATCTCATTAATTATTTAAAATAATTATAAGAGTAATAATATTTTATGTATACACTATCATTCAATACAGAATGGAATTTGTTTTCATTTAAAGGTCACTAACCCAGTACCATCAACATGTAGCGGACAATATTTTAAATAAAAAATAAATATATCATATGTATAGAATAATATGATTAAAAAGAATTAAAACATTTATGTAGAAGCTGAATACATATACACCTAAACCATTTCTCTTTCTTTTTTCCTACATAAAAATATATATCAGTGAATTAAGTATCTCTTAGTACTTTATTTACTTTTGTATTTTGCATAAATTTCATTAGCAAAAATCGATATATGTTAAGATTCTTACAAAAAACAGTCACATACTAACTTTTTCAAGATAATGTCACTACTTACTAAAAAAAGATAACACATTCTTTTTTAAAAATTATGTACATTAAAAAATATAATGCTATAGTTTTCGTTTATGTACTTCTCTCTATATGTATACAGGGTGACTGGTGAATTACTATCAATACTTTAGGACGTGATATTATAAATAAAAATTAATATAACATAAATATTAATAAACTTCTAAGTAAAGTTAACCAAAAGTTATCTAATTAATTACGCATCGTGTGAACACCCTACAGATTAGGTATACACACACACACACACCCACACGCGGGTGGCGGCGTAGTGTTGTATCAGCACGCCGCCGCACGCGTCCACACTTGGAACACTTGGAACGTGCCCACGCTTTATTTATTTATACGGAAATTTGGTCAAAAATAAAGTACCATTTTTTTTACATAATTCGAATGAGAATCATGTACCGAGTATTCTCCTTAAATATTGATAGTAATTCACCAGTCACCCTGTATATATATATATATATATATATATATATATATATATATATATACCATTTATATTTTTCATACATAACTGTATTATAAATCAATGTTTTTCTGTTTATACCTGTGTCTGATTACTCTCCAGTTGGTCCCGGGCTTGCTTCACCATATCTTTACATATCTTGCAGATGCCATCATTATCTTGAGGGTATGTCTGTTTGGACCAAACCCTTTGTACGCAGTGGTGAGTTGCCTTGCACTCTTTGCCAGTACTAAAACATATATGTATAAAATATAAATGTAAATCATTTTATTTCAAATAATTTTTATTATATGTACAGTAGAAACTCGATTATCCGGCCCTCAGTTATACGGATTCGCGATTATCCGGACTACGGACAAGTCAGGATAAAAAAATTAATGGTGTTGTTGAGAGTAGCGTACGTCAAATGACAAAATTAACAAATATTCTAAACCAAATTATAATTATTATTTTAATTCATGATTACCAATTTCAAATTACCAAATACATATTGTAATTTTCTTTCAAATAAACATATAATATAAGGAACTACATAAGCACAAAATCGGCGTTTCTTCATACATTCGATTATCCGGATTTTCGATTATCCGAATGCCTATCGACAACAATTAGTCCGGTTAATAAAGTTTCTACTATATTATAAATGGAAAAATTGCTTTCATCTTTATTTTCATAAATTATTAATATGTACATAATATCTTTGAAATTATAATTAGACTGAAAATATAAAAATATATAATGCTTTAATAAATAAGTATAGTAATGGTAGTGATTGCATAACATTTTTAATGAATTGCATGATTATTTAATCCAAAATCTATTTTCCATTACATCACTAACAGGAGTTGTGTTTGTACAAATAATATGTGTTATATACAAATATGATAAAATCCTTCATTAGAGGAAATAATAAACCGCAAATTAGGTAAACATGATAATGACTTGTGTTTCCAAAACATTAACGAAGGAAGTCTAAAAACAATATTATTGCAATCCATTGTATGGTAGAACGCTTTACATAAACAGTTATGTACCTATATATAAAAAAAATAATTAGAAAAACAAAACATAAATATGTTTATTATATCAAAATTATTTTTAATATTTAAATACGAATTCCTCTAATAAATATTTAGATAGATGCCAAGATAATCATGTAAATTAAATGAAAAATATTTTGTTATCTCTTAGCTATGCAAAATAGCGTGTTATTTTTTTCCAAGCCATATTAATGGTGTATACATTTTTAGTGATTGACGAATGTGTCCTTTATAGATATCGATAATAATTAATATGAGAAAAATGAAATCATAATAAAAATACATATACAAGTTATTCGCGCGATTTTGGCCAATTCAAGCACACCTTACTACAAACTGCTCTGGAAAAGGGTAAAAATTCTATCAAAAAAGTGTAGACTTTGTTAAGATAAAACGAAAAAAAAGACGAAGATTATTTTTATTATATATGACGCATTAAAAAAGTCTTTGCTTTGTTTTTACAAACAGATACAATACAATTTTATTTTATTATGATAATTATTTATATGCCAAAGGAAAACTTGTAGATAAATGTGTTAATCTGACCGCAAGTTATGTATTAGTTATTGAAAACAGAAGCGTGTGACTCATATAAATGATCATTTATTAATAAACGCAAAAAAATAACATTTATTTTTGTTATAAAATTATGTGAGAACAGATTAATATATAGATTATATTCCACACAGAGACATATTATAGAGTAGTAGATTCTACTCTACTTAGTAGAATAATATATAAGGATTTATATATTTGTATATATTGCGTTACCTGAAATTACTGCACCAATATGATGGACCCCACGTACAACGAGCGCCTCCCAACAAATCTATACAAAATATACATAAAATAATTATACAATGAAATAAAACAATGTTAAAATCACAGAAATAGTATAAGAAAATCCGAGTCAGTATAAATAATGACCATTGTTTCATACTTTAATTATTTCTTACGTCATATACTCATAAAGTGGATTTTTTCTTTTAAATTAAACTCATTAAATGTTACTGGTCTATATGCATATTATTTGATATTTCATAACGTAAGTTACTGTGTTAAGTGAAAATTGAAATATATGTAAACTATGACTAAATGTTCATTTAAAACGCAAGTCATTAATTTGAAGACAACATTTATATTCACTTAATAATAATATTTTTGGTACATTTTATACTCACGTTTCTCTTTGCTCGGTTCGTCAGACCTCTTTTTCTGTAAAATAAATATTTGTTTTTTTTTTGTTAAATGTCACCATTTCTAAAAAAAAAACTTTAACAGCTTACGTTTTTAATGAAACTTTTCGCGCCCTTTTCATGTTACAGAAAACATCATATAAGGAATAATATACTCTCTTTTAAAGTATGTGTGAACAAAATCAATAAAAACTATTGTCTTAAAAAGAAGGCTAACACGCCATTAGTAATTAGTTCTAATTATTCTGCGAAATATGATATACCTATAATATTTTTATACCATAATGCGCCTTGAATCAGATGGATCGATTCTAGTACTTGCACTTATAAATCTTCTTATAACAAAAAAAAACTAAAATATGCTCACCATATTGAGGTTATCTAGTTTGTCATTATTACACATGCCGACTATCTTGCAAATAGTCTGTGGTGTTGTTTTTGATTGCAGAACATGCAGGAGATACTGCCCTAGGTCAGCTGTGTTCGCTTTACACAGACGCTGTACACTTGGAGTGGGAAGATCACGGCATGCCGAGCTAATTGAAGACGAGAGATAGTCCTAAAGAACATATAAATAAAACATGTAAATATGAGATGAAACCTTTCAGCATTAGTATTCATTCACCATGCGAGTTCTGGGTCCATCGTTGCAGAGAGGAGCTTCAACAGTGACTGGGACTTGCGACCCAGGTGTAGGTTTAAGGGGCATTTATCTAACGCTTTAAAAACTCACCTCCACTGTTCAAGCTCCTCTCTCTACCTAATCAACTCATTCTTCATATTGAAACGTAAATTATCTTGCTATGAACCTATTAAGTTATAAGTCTAAATAAAATTGTTCATTCATTCTCTGGCTCTGTTTGTATTAAATTATTTTTGTGTATATATAAAATGTTAACTTATCATTTACTTCATTCCCAATTATGTAGCGATATGTATTAAATAATTTATTGGTGATTCATTCACCATTTACAAGCATTGTTTCCAAGTAGGTAAATTGGTATATAAAACATGATTCATTTATTAGTTTTTATCATGTAACATCACACTTCCCTGCTATTTTGTCATCAATTAGTCAAGATTCTTATTTTTTCTTTATATGGACATTATAAATATAATTTTATAGTAATTTTACTTAATACAATAAAAAATTTAGGCAAATGACAAATATGTCCATTATGAATTAAGAAAATCCAACTAAGATAGTTTTTACAAATATCTTTTAAATATATTAAATTAAATTTTTTCTTTCTGTTAATATGATAAAGTAACAGATCAAGTATGAATATTTTTACTAATGCATATTGCATTCTGAGAAAAAAAAATATCCAATATTTTAGAAGGCAGTTAATAAATTTTACCAGAGATTAAAATCCCTCTTATACATGTACCTGTGTGTACTATCTCTATACAAACATCCTTTTATATCCTTATCATTAACTTCCTGACATGTTTAAAACCAACAATAATTATCAACAAAACTTTGTCTTGTTAACTTCCTAGACCTTAATATTAAAGAAGTATTTAAATCTTTTTTCTCAAATTAATTTCATATATAGATTATTATTACCCATAAAATATTAATAAATCATTAACAAAAATTATCTCACATGATGCAATATTTTTAATGGTAATAAAAGCTCAGATATTATTCAACTGCATTAATTATAATGAAATAAATTATGAGAAAAAATATTATACATTTATGAGTAACATCATCAAAGTTTAACATCATCCTAAATAAGATATTATCAATAATAAATTATATCCAAAAGAATATTATTATACTTTCAAATTTAATGTTAAATATTGCCGATATCAGTAGCCCACTGCTGAGCAAAGGCCTCTTTCTCACATGGAGAATGTTTGCTTCTATATCAATTGTCAAATAAAACATAAATGTATGAAATTTATACATTACCGCATTAATCATAGTATTGACATCTTTCAGCTGACTGAACTTTTGCACAATCTTGTCCGAGACAATATTATTCTTGACATCTGTGACCTCAACTTCCCACACCGTGCTAGTACAGTGACCCACGGCACCACAATCCGCTGCATTCCTAGTAATTAATTAATTAATTACTAAATATATATATGATTTTTCTATGGTAATTAACTAAAAACCAAATTTATATTAAAGTTTATTTAAAGTATGTGACATTTTTACTATAACATACCATAAGAAAGAAACATGTAAGTACAAGGGTATACAAACTTTAGTCGCAACACATATATACATAAATATTTGGCAGACCCTGGCAAGATCTTGGAAATTGCCAGGCAGAAGACATATATATATATATATATATATATATATATATATATATATATATATATATATATATATATATTATTGTGTACTATATACTATAAACATAATGAGTTAATGATAAATATCTTACTTTAGTGATTCGCACCAATATGTAGGTCCCTTAGCACATTCTCTGGGTATCTGTTTAGCTGTAGACAAACCTGCAATAAAATATTAGTTTAGATATAATAATAAAAAAAGAACCAGTTTCATGTGATAAAAACGATGAGGTCAAAATGTTTATCTATGTAGAATGTAAACAAGTTCAAAATACAACAATTAAGAATGATAATACTCATATAAACAAGGGATATTATATATGTATTTATATGAAAATCTTATATTTCTATAATGAAATAACCAATTTTATAAATAATACTCTTTATATGGTTATTATTGCCAAAAAAAATTAGTAGAGAAAGTTCAGTATAGTTAATATTCATAAAAAAGTAACGGCTTAAATGCATGAGTAATCATTTTAAACATCATCTGTATTATTGTATGATGTATCCAATATTATGATTTGCAATAATATGATCCCCTTCTGTTTGTATTCACAGGAAATTTGATATTAACTAACTACTGAGTCAGAGTTTGATTTCTGTTATTGAGTCATTATTGTTATTTTACAACAGTTGTTCAAACATTTTTAAAATGTTAACTTTTACAACGAAACGAACAAATAACGTAATCAATTTTTAATTAAACTTTTTAGATAATCTGTGGAATTAAAAACAAAAACTCATTAATAAGTGAAAAGAAAGATAATTAAAAGCAAGTTGGAGCTATACACTACACATAGAAAAGTTTTAAAATTACCCTCCATGTTTAATATTTAATTATAGTTATTTAAAATAAAATTTATATGAAATAGAATCATCTCATGGGAGATAAAATTAAATCACAACAAAATAAACTATACCAAATTTTGTTCAATATTACATTTATATTTAAATTAATCGCATTAAGTTTAACCTAATTACTTTTTAGTGATTACAACACAAAGAAATTGCGTGACGGTGGGATTATAAACAATAGAAATCATATAATTAGTTCGATAAAAAAAAATACTCACATGTACAACAAAAGAATATGGCTACGAGACAAACAGCTAACGTGTTTGTCATTTTGGAAACACGTAATTTAATTAATGTGGTCCACTTTCAATCGTTGCGTGTTGAAGACTAACAAAAATAACTAACAATTTCGCTTTGTTTGTTTCTTGAAAGTATTATTGCGTATCGATTGATAAACAGTTGTCAAGTCACTGCTGTCATAAAACTAAAAATGCAAGGCCAATGTTGCCAGTTCTTCATTCTTAAAATATTCAAAAGATTTAATCTAAGAAGTATTTTCTTTTCTTTTAGTTTTTAATATTATAAATGTAATTTCATGTATGAATTACAATTGTTTAAATATGGTTTTAAATTTATATACTGTATATTTGCCTTTTGTTTTGCCTTAGATAACAAATAAATACATAAATTTTGTCGTAAATTATAAGTGAAATTTTTAGACTTAAATAAAATTGTTAAAGTGTATCATATCAAGAAAAGTTATATTTTAATGAAATATTTATGAGCCACTTAAATATTATAAATATTTTTCTAAAGCTGACAACCCTATTTATTACATAAAAATATCTAACGAGTTTTTTGTTCATTCTTAAATTTCAGTGGAAAATTTCAAACAAAAATCAGTGCAATGCAAATAGTAAGCGTATATTATTATTAATATATTTAAAGAAAATATTATCTTACACAAATTTTAAAAAAAATCTTTAAAATATTATAGGAGACATATCTAGCTATATCAGTATGTAGTCATCTACATATGCTACAGATCTAAAATATTTTTTTAACATTTTGTTATAGGACAGCATTTTTGAATGAATTTTATGAAGACATTATTTATACTGCCATTCTATATACATAGATATTTTACGGAATTCTTCGTGGTTCAATAGTTTTAACTCATCAGAGATAAAAATACAATATTCTACTTACTATGTTTCAACCCCTATAATGATAGCCCTATAGACAAAACTCATATAATTTGTCATTCTGTCACCCCTTTATTGAAGGAACGTTAAAATTTAAACACTAAGATGAAATTGTATATAAATTTAATACTAGAATATCTGTAATACTAATTCCTACTATATTCCAATTTCTGGAATTCTATTATATCTTTATATTGTTTAAAATACCTGATTCCGAAGAAAAATTATAAATTTAAATTAGATCATAAGCCCTTAAATATTTAACCTTAAATATTTTCAAATTGTATCGTAGTTTTTGTAATGAATAAAATAAATTCTCAATCGTAGGTTATTTTATCATATAGCAAAATTTTAAACAAATTTAGCATTCCTTAATATGAACTGTTACGTCACAACTATTAAAACATGTCTATTGTTAAAAAAAATATTGATATAATATTTAATATATAGATATAAGAATAAAATTAACAAGATAATGATGTATCATTTCTAAGCTTTTGATTTTATCCACATTTATTACAAAATTCAAGATATAAAAATGTATATACTTTTATTAATAACACTTTTTCAATTTATTACTGGCATAAAGTTTGATCCACAATTATATTTATTTCTAATTAACTACAGTAACATTAGGTTTTCTTAGTATTGAAAATCAATAAGAGATGGCAGCACCGTTTACTATTGTATAAAAACTTTTAGTACTGCTACTTGACAATAGGTGGCATGTCACACAGTAAAATTATTACTAATAAAACAACGATTGAATGCTATAAACTAGTGAATAAAAAAAAATATTATTCTATAACTAAGTAAATATTATTCTATAATTATTTTTGTCTACATACAGTTTCTTCATATTTGTCCAGAAAACAATAAATTAAAATGTAACTTGTTTTATACTTAATATTTGATTTTGAAACAATACAAAACCAAGAGTTTAATTTTCCGAATTTCATTATAATTTTTAATATCCTAATTATATCATAAGTATGATCACATCACATCATAAGTAATGTTGCGAAAATAGAAAATTTAAAATGTCAGCAAATTGTCAGCTTTAAAAACGGGACTTGATTAAGTAACGTGTCTGAGCCCTGAAAACTAGTCATAAATAAAATCAAATATTTCGTAAGACTGGAAATAGGTAGCTTAGAAATAGGTAAGAATTTCACTGTAACATGTTTTATAAAATCTAATATACCTTTATATTCTGTGGGAAAACTAGTGAATTTTTTCTATTCCAGGACGTGTTTTTTCTAAGACACAATTAGGATATTCCCCGGGGCGCAGGTCCGACTCGGGTCGTAATAAAATTAAGAAGACGCGGCGGTAGCGGTAAGTCGATGTCTTCCGTGGGCATAAAATAAATCCGCTTTAACCCGCACGCGATCCTACGTCGATGGAGTCTCTTTAAAATGGATGTTTTTTAGGAGAAAGTGTTGCCATATAGAGGAAAAATTTAATTTGTTACTATAAATAATATATTGAAAATTCATATTATTTTACACTATATTAAAAAAATATAACGTCAGATTTAGGCTTAAAACAATACATATAAACAACAAAAAACTTAACTTAGTCAATACACTATCTATAAGCGTGTAACGGAAATCAAATTTAAATGACGTAACGTAATGGACCATACACAAGGTCCGAACTCAGTCACGTCCATCGTGTCCATATTCCAACGAGCACTTGAATCTCTAACGCACTCACATTCTTATTTGTCCCCGCAGTTCCAGTCACGTGACAAGACTACAATCGTCTACTAACAATATAATTTGTACCCTTTTGATATCAAAATATATCATATTCTGAATAGTTCTCATCTAATTGGATAATTGCTATATCTATTTTGTTTTATTTTCGTCATTATATGTAACTAATATTAATATTAAGTCGATAACAATGAATAACTTAGGGCGTGAGTTGGAAACTTAAATGATATCATAAGGAGAGCACTTCCAAGAATACTCGACTAGAGCTTCAAAGTTGCTACGTTACAGAAGATTTGTCGCGCGCCCGCCAACTAATGCTGTACTTGCTCTTGTAAGTAAAAATTATGATTATCGCCCGGCTAGAGCTGATCTCTTGATCCCTAACTAACGGCGGCTCCGGGACGCGGGACTTTCCTTTTCGTCTCAACTATAACTCTTTTTTATTGCCACCGGCAGCACCGGCCACTGGATTACAACACCTGATCGCTTTTACTTTATAAACTAACTGAAAACTAAATTTACTCTCGATGTCTGAATCAGTGGTTTAAATAAACATCAATTATCTTAACTATTTACATACAAGCTGTGCCCGTGGCTTCTTTCGTAGTTCTTGCTTTCTTGCTCTTGTAATGTTGTCTTTGTAATCACAGTCAATCAATTATGTCATTGTAGTCAACTATGCGTCGCAATTAGTTATTTTAATATTAATACACGCATTAGTTTTAAAATACGTTGAAAACAATAGAAACATTAAAAATCGAAAGCGAGAGTTGTTCATTTTATTTTACTTTATTTAACGGACGAGTACCTAGTAAGTTAAACTACTTCACAATATTTTAAAGATTACATGTAGAGGCTATATCATATTTTGTATTTTGTAACTTTTATATTTTGTAGCATGAAAGTCGTTTTCTATTTCTTTTTTTTATATAAAATTAATAAATCATAATGCTCACATTGTTGTTTTTACTATTTAATTATTAAGCATGTGCATATATTTTTTATGACCCACCTATAGATTTCAATGACTCACTGAATATATTATATAGAGTAAATATAAAATAATATTGTTACTTTATATTCCTAAGGATTATAAAAATATAAATAAGTAGTTGCTCTAATTACAAAATAAGATCTTGATATTATTTATATCGATTGTTTTAGTAGTTTACATACAAACAAACAAATTATAGTTATTGATAGCAAATACCAAAAATATTACTTCTGATCAGTAAAAATTCTGTGAATGAAATTTTTCATAAACTTACTTTCATTTAAATGAATACTCGCGAAAGTCTTAGATCTCATTACTTTTACAATACATAAGATAGTTTAACGTCATTCAGTAATATATAATAGTCATACGCAATACTAATTAGTTATACTTTTAAAATATCTTCCTAATACTTATTTTAATACATAAGTAGAGTATATTTGGTAAAAACTTACGGGAGGTGACTCGAGTTATATTTAAATTTTACGCGAATGTTTTTTTATTCAGCCTTAAGTAAGTGTAAGTAGAGTCTTTATAGCTTTCATCACTTGTGTTACAATATACTGGTCATTTCTAGAATTTTTAATTATGTTGCACAAAAAAAACACTTACTGTACATAAATAGATAAAGATTGTCTATATTTTAAAATAATTATTAATTATGTACCTAATTCTGTTGCTTTAAGTCACAGTTTTTTTATATTTCTAATAAAGCCTTATTTAGATATAAGAAACATAAGAATAAACGGGAAAGAGACAGATCTTAATGTAGTTGGTGGCAAGTTGAATATGTGAATAAATCGAATTATTGTTTTAGGAGTCTTGTTAATAACTATAAAAATAATGAAAGTTTGAAATTTCCTTAGATATATTACCCGCGAATCAATATCGGAGTGGAGTGGTGGTTTAAAATAAGATTTTGGAGGAAGGTTGCAGAGGGGTTACCTAAAATCTGAGCTATAATATAAAAGAATAAAACATAACCGTATTAGTAAAAGATGTCACAAAAAATAACTATTCTCTATTATATTAATTCACAGTTATTCGCACATCGAAATCGACTTTTAAACTTTGAACATTCTATTCAAATCCAATCAAATTCAATACACTAAAACGTATGAGGGAGGTGCGAGTATCTCATGAAAGTTTCCGCGCCAGCGAGTACGTACCCTACTATGTATCAGGTTTCATTTATAAAACATAACAAAACATCCATTTTCAGAAGTGCAATACAATACTTACATAAACGACTTGCTCGGAGGGTCGAGACGGTCGATTAAGGAAGCAGTGCACCGTTGCTTAGCAACGCCGCCATCTTGAATCTAACCCCTCCCCCCACCCCAAACGGCGTCCCCCCTACCCAGTAAACAACGCTGTATCGTTGCACTGAAACACTTGATATATTAAAAA